GACGGCGGGACTGGGCGACCGGGCTTATTATGGCCATTAAGCCGAAAGCAAATTCAATTTAATTGCGCCAAAACTCGAGGAGCGCTTGTTTAATTTTGCCCTCTATTATTTGCGTTTCAATGGCAAACAATGGCAGAGAGTGGAGAGAGGACCAAGATCAAAGTCAATTCGTTGCTCCTGACCTGTCCTCACCTTCTTTGCACCGAAGTTTTCCCAGTTTCCCACGGAGAGTTGCCGCAAAACTTTGTCCTTTTCCTGCCGGTGTCGCCCCTTGAGCGTGTTTCAACTCTTTCACTCCTGCACTTTGCCTCCTTCCTGCTAGTTGGGTTCCTCAAATATTCATAATTGAAGTTTATTGTTTACCCTCGAATGTGTGCCGCCACGCCCACATGGCCCTACGCCCCATTTTGGGGGGGGGAGAGGCCATTGGTGCCACTTTGATTGTTTTGTGGCCCGAAGACCGTCGATAAGTTGGCCTGCAGAAAGTTCACAAAACTTTTCAGTTTTTCCCCCTTTTGTTTCGCCTTTTTTCCGTATCCAAGTACTGTGAAAACTTTGATTGGCGAACAAAATGGCACAAGTGATTGGACATGTGCTTCATTTATTATACCATATGCCTGACCTAGTGCTCTCTCCTGTTTAGTTTACATACATACATACATACATACAACTAAGGAAAGTTCTTCGATAAATGTTTAAAGAGCTTTAACAATTAGTTGTTAGATGTATTTCCCATGTTGAATGAAAGTTTATCGTGCCTTGACTCATTTAAATTACTTATCCCGCACTATATATCTTTAAGATAACTTATACCAAGTGCATTTGCAATTATTTCTCAATGGCAACCACCATCAGAAACAACAGTTCATGTCAGTTTTTCTTCCATGGCAAAAGGTCACGCTTTTCCCATTTCCTTTTCCCGAGTGTTCTTGACCGATTTTTGATAAATTGCTTTTGCCTTTGAGCAGCGAATCGGAATGGACGGGGTCGACGGGCGTCGTCTCAAGAACCCATCCCATTAGCAGCCGCAGCCACGTTTACGGCTCCCACTTGAACGAGCTATTAAATATAATTGCGAGCAATTTGTACGATCTACTTAGGATATCATTTTTAATGCGACAACCCGGCCCGGAAGGCTCTCCCTCATTGCATTGCTAATTGCTTGGCGGCAGAGGTAAACATGAAAGGAGCAATAAGCACGAAACAATGGACTTTTTGCAATTCAAATTACCATTTTTAGTGTATCAAATAGGGGCGCAAAAAGTGCTGAGTGTTGCGGAGCGGAGTGGCTAAATTGTTTTGTGATGCCACCACCGTTGGCGTTGCAGATGGTCAACAGAGCTCATCGCTGGCCAAATACCGGTAGGGAAAACATACCTACCTACAATTCCGACCAGATTTGCATAACACGTTCCACATTGCGGTACCGTCAACAAAAAAAAGCCGAGTCCGAGATTCCTGCCACCCCATGGCCAAAGTTGCAGCTGCGGCTAGTTTCATATATTTCAACGTTCCACCTTTTCAAATTTCCCTAAATCCCCATCTGACGCCGCTGTCTGCGGTGACACATAAAATTCTGGCAAGAGCATGATGGCTTAAATGTTATGACCTCGACGGGGTATTACCCTGCACCTGAGGCTGTGAGATTATATAACACTTGCTTGACTAGGAGTTTATTAGTATTTGATCTTACATTTTACATAGATTTTTGTTTATAGAAATATAACAAATCGCTACGAAGATTACATCTTTCGATTAGAACTTTACTGATCATGAAAACCTATTTTTTATCAAAGAGCAATGTTATATTATATACAAAAACAAACCTCTTGGAGACAGTTGATGGAGATATTTTCTGGAAAATATTATATTTTTAGGGATTTACTTCTACCAGATTAGGTTTTATTAATGAATTTGTACATAAATAAAAATATTCTTTTTGCAAGTTACATTTTTTAGAAGTGAAAATGTATAAATTCAAGAGAAACTTCCACTCTCCGCAAAGGAGTCAGAATATTAACAAAATTTACCAGAAGGTACAACTAAAGGGTTATTGAAATATAAACTCCGTTTTCTTTAGATTTATAAAATATATTTTAAGTTATAAAAAAATATATTTTCTTTTCTTAAACACGATCCTGCCCGCATGCACTTTTATAAAAGAAAGAAAAGTGGTGGAAAAACGATTTACATTTCACTTACTTGAGATGTATTAAGGCGACGCTCTGCTCTGCTTCCTTTTGCCAACCTGGTCAAAAGACTCGAGGCTGTCCAGGACCGAAAGCTAAGGAAGCAGGAACCGGGAACAAGGAGATGGAGATGGAGACCGGCAAACAAAGGCAACAACAGCAAGGCAAACAAAAGTGGCTAAAAAGCAAAAGCTGCAAAAAGGCCAAAGGCGAGGCACGAACTCTATATAACGAACACTGGCTAACACACACACACACACACCAGCACTCATAGAGAGATACATACATATATGCATGAAATTTCACACCCCCAAAAAGGGGGTGAAGGTGAAGGGGTGTCGGCAAAGGGGGCGGTATGATGGGTGACTCGGTGGTTTCGGGCGCTTTTTGGGTTCCTAGGGGTTCTAGGGGGACAAGGCACAAGGCAGCCAGAGGAGCCGAAATGCAAATACACAAACAATGGCGGTGCGGGGGTTACTAAGCCAAGCTAAGAAGGTTTTGGTAAACAAATTTTACTGCCAACTCACACACACACACACACACACAAACAGCCCCCATACACAAACTGGCAAATACACTCTGCAAATAGTCTATATGAACTACTGTATGTAGTTGCAAGTAATTAAGTTTTAATGACTTTGCTTAAGTTGAGGTTCTTAGAGAGCGCAAAAAATATATATCGTTAAAGAGGTATTTTTAGCTGAGAGAGAAAAGTCAAAAAGGTAGATTTTTGAATGTAGGAAGTAGCTTTTTGAGATCTAAAGAATGTTTAAGAAGTCCTTTGTGTGCCTTGAAAGTATTTAGAAATTTCCCAGATATAATATATATAAAAATGTATTCCTAATTATTATGTTTTCAATGCATTTATGCATAATTTAATAAAATAAATTATACCTATTAACCTAAATGGCTTCTTATAATTTTCTTATTTACAACATTAAATGCTCTAAAGCTTTCTGATTTCGAGTTTCCTGAACTTTTAGTAGTACACCCTTGAACAAAATTAATAATTACTTTTATAATAAAACTAAAAATGTAGTACCAAATTCACTCCAAAATGGTATATCTATATATTTTCCCACACATCCTTTCCCATTTGTTTTTTGTCAAGTGCACATTTACAGTTGCTGTCGTTGGCCCAGGACATTCATAGTTAAAATTTAGAGAGACAGCGCCGAGAGATTTGGCAAACAGCAACAATATTCCTGCCCCTGATGTTGCCTGCCCCAATGCCCCCCTCCTTAAACCTTCAACCCCCTTGTTGCCATCCTGTTGCGTTAATCAAGGTTCACACAATCGCCAACAACAACAACAACTAAACAATAACAATAACCACAAGAACAACAAATGCGAGGCGTGCACGTGCCAAAATTGCCAGAGAATATTTTGCATTTGTTTTTTGGTTCTTTTTTTATTATTTGCTTTAGCGACATTTCCTAGCCGAGTTCTTTTTTTTGTTTCGGGCCATTTGTTGCTGTTGGCCATCTGGGTGTTGATTAAAAAATTGTCAGGTTCTGAAAATTCATGGCGCCTTTATCCTTTTTTACAATCCTCCTTGTACAGTGCCAGTAAGTAAGGTAATGATTACTATATATCAGCACAAAGAAACCTATATTAAATAAAATAAAACCTGAAGTTATCTCATTTTTAATTTAATATTTAGTTATTAGTTATTTGCTAACAAATTATAATTTTGTGACGTACTGTACGAGCCTTACCTTCATCCAATGTCTCCCCGGAGAAAACCTTTTTGGGTTGCGACTATCAAAATCGATTGGATTCTTCTGGTGGCCGCCACTGTTACATTTTTGGGTCCATATTTTCCGTCCGGTTTTTAGGTTTCTTGAATGCCCATTTGGGCTAATAACAAATAACTGAATGGTCCATTATACGAAATGAGTCTGAGCCATGGCCGGAAAGTGTTGAGAGCCAATGGCAATGGCCCTGACAGTGGCAGCTGCCAAATAGCGGCCGTAGATTATATATGTTCGAGGCTCCCTCCAAATCGCATTACCGGAAATTACCCCTCATGCATTGCGTAATAAATTTATATGAGCTAATTGCCAGCAAAAGTTCATTAATATGGGGGGGTGTGTGTTTGCCATGAGCATAATTTATTGGAGCCATTAAATTTTGTTAGTTCATGATTCTGTAAAGATTATGCAATATTTAAAAGGTCTTAGAGATCATAAATGTAAAGAGGTATCATGGAATTTTATGATGGAATTAAAAATTATGCTTTATTGAAGCCTTTTTTTATTAGTATATTTAATTATGGTTAATGTTATAATATATTGTTATTATTAGCTGGTCATGTAGCTTTATTTTTTATATGTTTATAAGTTTGTTCAAGAGAGTTAAATCAAGACATAAATAATTAAATTAAAGCAAAGAATCCATTACTAAAAGTGTTCTTTGATAGGCTTTGTATTTTTTCCTAAACTTTATTTACTTATGTTATAAAATTGTTGTTTAAACAAAGCTTTTCTCTCTTTTATATAAAACAAACTAAAAATGTTATTTTCATTTCATTTTTCTGGCAAATAAACATACTCCGACACACACACTCACTAATTGCATAAACGTCTAACGATTGACCACAAATTTAATATTTGCAGTCACTATGATATTCATTGAACGGATATGCAAAACCAGCAGCATATGCTTCTATATAACTATATATGTATATATATATTAGACAAATAAGTGGCAGATTCAATGGTCTGTTATCGACAGGCCGTGGAATTATGTTTGTATTTTCGAGCGACCGCTAATCTAATTTCATATTTGTTCGCTTCGCTATATTTGCAGATTTCATGACCCTAATATCAGCAATGTGAAAGCATCAACCAAACACCGAATGGGAAATTAAAAAAAAAAAGAAAGCAACAAACTGGAGAAGTCTGCAGCATAAATCGGAAGCGGCGAAACAATTTGTACATAGTATATAGTATAATCAAATCCGCACATTGCCAGAATCGATTAACTACACACAAACTACACCACCAGCTAGGTAAAATAACCATCTCTCAGCCACGATGACAGTCCCGAATACTAAAATGCATAAATAAATAAATGGAATGGCACGCAACGCAAATTCTAAAAATATCACAAAATGTTGTATCAATAAATTATTAATAACAATTTCTGCGGACAAAGAAACAAGAACAGCCAGCAAAACTATAACAAAAAAGTTGACAACATCAAATAAAGTTCAATATCAACGGGGTGAGAAACAAAAAACACCATGAAATTCCGCAAAACAGAAAAACGCAAAAGAGGAATTTATCCAAAACACAAATATTGCAAAACATTTTTCCAGTTTAGTATGCATATGTCGAGGCCACGATGGCAATAATGATAGAATCCCTCCCCGATAGTTTCCACATATCCACCCAGAAAAACCTACACCCAAAAACCGAAAGCCGAAAGCAATACCTCCTCCCCCACCCTAGATGCCGCTGTAAATATTCAAGAGACTATTTTTATTGTCCTTTTCAACTTTATGTAGCATAAATTTACAATTTCTAGCCTGTAAATCCCTTATATACATACGATATAGTTAAATAGGTAAGGCCACGGCTATAAGGGGGGAGGCTGTGTCAATGGGCGTGGCAGGATGGCTAAGTAGATACACTCAAGTCCTTCGGACATTTTTCAAATTGTATAGGAAATGAAAATTTGCAGAATTGCATCGATTCTTGAGATTAGTTGTGCATATAAGCGGTTACATATACCTATTTATAGATACTACAAATTCTATACCTATAATTATATATATTTACAATTGACGACCAAGCAAAAGTAAAACTTTAACTCTAGTAACAAGTCAAACACGCAGACACACCAAACACTCAGACAAGGATTACACGATAAAAACTGAACTAAAGTAGATTGAAAATAAGACATTGGTGATGTGCGGTGAGGGGAATCCCCCAAAAAGGGTTCTAAATTTATCATCCACTCACATCTCAGAGCATAGCAAATATGAAATGTAAAACAAAAGCTTGTTAGTGATACTAATTTTAAACGAAAACAAAAAATAAGAAACCAAAACACAAAACCAAGGCTTGAACACATTTGATAATTCTTAGTGAATCTCGAAATGTTTACATTGTTATTAAATTTCTGTTACTTAATTCTTCGTTATTAAGCAAAACTTCAATTTCATCTGTATATAGGGTTCTTGAACACACATCAGTGCTCGAAAGCTTAAGCTTCTTAAAATTACGGAAAACTGAAAAGTAAATATATCAACTAAGATATAAATACATATAGTGCTTTTCAAAACTACAAATAATAAGGTATTTATTTTTGAATAGATTCTATTTACGAGTTATTCGTGATGTGATGCTACTTTTCTTATTAAATCACTATTAAATTCGTTTTAATTTGATGCTAACATTCTTTCTTAACTTTTATTTATTTAATAGTTTTGTATATATTTGTAGTTTTGAAACACACTAACCATTACGTATACCGATTAACACAAAGACATAGACACTCGACTACACTCAAGCGCACTTTCGCTTAAGAAAACTATATATTTTGCTGATGAAGGGAGAACAAGTTCCACGCAATTCAAACAACAAATATATATGCAGATACACTATCTATCTATACATTTATCTAGGGGTTGGTAAATATTACGTAATTCTACATAAATGATGAAGGGTTAAAATCCATATCAATAATTACGTAATATATGCTCTAACCCCCATCTATCATACTTACCATCACACTTACACTTACGTTTATAAGTACACGCACATCAATGCAAGGATGCATAATATCTGAATGAAACAATTTACCATTTAGCACTAAAGATTAATGGGGAAAACCAACTGTCTGAGCAAAAATAAAAAAGAAACCAACTAACTAAAGCAAACGACTAAGCAAATGAAACCAATGAAACAACAACACTTAATGTAACGATGAAAGTGAATCGAATCGAATCGAAACGAAAGGCAACGCAGATGAAAATTTAAATGAATATGCAAATTTGGCTAACACACACACTCACTCACACATACATAGGCGACATTAGAAACGAGAGTTTGTAAATTGACGAAACGTTAAATAAAACCAAAGGCGAAAAATATAACAAAAGTATTAATACACGTACAAAGATCCATTCGAGTGTGCAATTTCATTTAGTTTTTCTGGACAGAGGTTTGGGGACATTTCCGAATGCTGGTGGGGTGGGGCTGCTCAATCAATTGATAAACCGGAAATGGAAATAACAAATGGGAAACTGCAAGTGCGGAGGCGTAAAGTGCATCGAGTGCAATTTCCATAGCCACCATAGGGGCCAGGGCAACCACGATGCTGGCTTCTGTGTGTGTTGTGTGTTGCAGACTAAATTACTCGAAAAATATATATTTAGTTGTTGGCATGTTTTATGGATGCATTGTAATTGAATCGGAGTGCCCAAAGGGTAAGGGAGCAGAGTGCCATGAAATGGACCGAATAGGAGTGAATAGGCACCATTGAGTATCGGCATCGGTATTCTACAGACCCAGGGACGGTATGGTATGTTATGATGAGACCTTGTCTGGGTATGAAATTTCACATATGTGGGGGTACTGATTATTTACAAGCTTTTTTTTCAGCAGATAAAATATTGTACACGTCATTGGATTCTAAGTGTTTTATTACGGACACTAATAAAGGTGAGTATTTCATTTTAAGAGCATTCCCTGCAAACCATTAAATCGCCGCTCGCCAAGAAGAATCTTCGGAGTGTTATAGTTATTTACTGATCATAGTAACTTACTGATTATAGTTAATTATTGCTCTTAAATTTGTTCCAAAATAAATATCGCACATGTGTACATATGATTCCCAACTAGTTCTAACATCCCCGGAACGAAGTGACTTCTGCCGACATGGTCTCAGAAATGTGTTGTGTTCCAAAAGTTGCAAGTCATTGTTTATTAGTGTCTCTAATCATAACTTATTACTGCTAATAGTTACTTACTGGTCAAAGTTAATTACTGATCATAGTATTTACTGATCATATTTACTTATTAATCATAATTATTTACTGAGATGACTCCTTCACAGCGTAGCAAAGTTTTGACTGAATTGATAATACCCTGCAAGGGTAACATCACACACTTTGACTTCATTTCCTTCTTTAAACTTTCCTCCTTTTAACTTAAGCCCACCGCCAAGAGCTGTTAAATGGTAATTAAAATTTGTGGCCAGGCAAAAAAAAAGTACATAATGGAGGGACAAAATGGGGATCTGCAAGGAAGACTGCCTGGAAGATTAATTGAATTACATTAGTCTGCGTTTTCACATACAAAAATATGCAAACCGAATGCGTAAACCGCAGAGGACACAAAAAAGTGAAAGAAAAAAATTACTGCGAAATAAAAACACAAATTAAAAATGAAAATGCGTGTAAATACCGACCAGAATTTTCCCGACCCTCGCACGTTCCTCTATCGCGACTTGTGCAAATTTGCACCTAACCTTTAAAGCGACGACAGGTGGAAAAGCTGAGAAGAACGAACCGAAAAAAGAGGAACTGGGGGTCTCTATCTAATGCCATCTCCCTCCAGTGCTCATTTTGTATGCCGGGCAACAAGCATTTATGTAAATTGAAAATATGCCGGTGACTTTTTTTTGTAGAGAGGGTGGCACAGAAAATAGGCGGCGATGACGAACGGAGGGGACATTTAAATTCAATTGTCAGCAGCATCTTCCCGGACCGGCTCGGGAAATCTGCGCTCTCAACATCAGTCACTAGCCCGCATTTATACAGTGATCACTGGGACAGAGTGGACCTTCCGAACCTTCCAGAAACTATTAGAAAAATAACTTATTTGAAGAAGAAATCATAGAAATAGGCAAGAATATACCAACTTTAGTAAAAGGTTATTTCATTCTTTAACTTTCAACGATACAGATAAGCTATAATTTAAGTGAAAGAATACGTATTGTTTTTAATTTCTAAATCTTTCTATAATTTACAAAGTGTTTTCCAAAATAACGTAAAATCAGTAGGATATTTAGAATTTAACTAGAATATTACACAATATATGTATGGAATTGTTTTTAATTTCTAGACCTTTCTATAACTTACAAACTGTTTCCCAAAATAACGTTCACTTTAGGGAGAGATCACTGCACTTTACAGGCATGTGTGTACATCCCACGACCAGCGGGTGTCCACGCAACGAGAATTTATAGTTATTACTATAGTTCCCAGTTCAGTTCGCGTTCAACTATTGTGCCGGTCAGACGCCGTCACTGTTCGTTTCATTCATTCCATTCATCAATCCGGTAGGAAGGGAAAGTGCAGCGGAAGAAAGTGAGCAAGTGGAGAAGAGTTCCTTAAAAAAAAAAACAAACAAACTGAAAAAACCCGAGAATGGAACGTCTGCTGACCATGTTCGAGGAGGCGGATCCCTTCGCCACATGGTGGCCCACGATAGCTGCCCTGGCGGTGGGCGTTGTGATTACAATCCGGTGAGGGCGATGACTCAACGGAAACTGTTTTTCCACCTCCTCCACCTCTTCATTTCGGGGGATTTAAAAACTTTTCCCTCGGACACACGTAAATAAATGTCGCAGCATCCCCAGTAAAAACTCTGTCCCTCTGTCGCCTTTCGCGAAGAACTTTTTAAGTGGATTTCATAAAGGGACGAACGAGCCGGAGCCGGAGTTCGCTGCAGGGAAGACCCGGATAATATGTAATATCTAAAGATTATTTTAAGTTCCTTTCTTTTTTTTTTTGTTTTTTATTTGGGTGTGCGGGAGGTACTTGTAGGGTATTCCCAATTAGTGGGGATTCACTTAATTAGGTAAAGTAAATTATTGCAATGGGAATGAATGCGAAATGATTTAATACTATTAAAAATAAATGTATTTTATTTTTAATTTTAAAAATTTATAAAGAGAAATATATAATTTAGATATTTTAGAATAGGTTTTAAATTTTAAAAAATTTTAAACTTCCAAGAGGAGTTCTTAAATCTGCTACATAACATTGCTCTAGATTACCATTTAAATAAAAGCTTGCAGCATTTGAAAGTATATTCAAAACATTTATTCAATTTTTTAAATACACAATTAAATAATATACTATTCAGTTAAATATTACAAATTATAAATAAATATTTTAAATTAGTTTCATGGCCCTTTCAACACAATTTAACTTAATTTTATGGATACAAAAAATCATATAACTTGAGCACTTATAGCTAATAGGTATATTTTAGTCGGGATAACTCAACTGTACTTTCTTACTTCCACGTATTATTTTTTGTTATTCCTTCTCTCTCGGAGCATCGCGGTTTTTGTGACCCCGCGCTATCTCGCACTTCGCAGTTGCAGGTGTTAGTATAAGCCGGCAAAAGGGAAAAGCGGAAGCGGAAATGGCAGCGACTGCAATATGGCACTCTGGCCAAGCCTTCGCACCCTCCACTCCCTCCTTTTTGCCACCTCAAAATATGTACAAAGTGGATTTGAGCAAGTTTGGCCCAAAGTAAATGAAATGCCAAACGAATTCCAAAATGAAGGATGCGATGGAGGATCTAGGAGCTATGTGTCAAATGGAGTGCAGTAAATGGAATGCGGTGATAATAATATAAAGGGAAATGACTAAGTGAGGATTTAATTAATATTGATTTTAGTTGAAAAATTTGTATTCACTAAATTTTTCAGTTCAACTTAATTAGGACCCAATAACCAACAGCAAATGTAAAAGCCAATTAAACGAATTAAACTAATTGCAAATGAAATATAATACAGTCAGTCAAATTAATTGAGTTCTATGGTATTTGACTATTTTTGTTGTGCTGCAAATCAGCATCGATGAAATGGATAGCATTTGTGCTGTTCAATGCCATATTTAAATGTAATATTGCCTAAGGCTTTAAGTTAAATAAATTAGCATTTACTACATCGATATTGAGGGCAGACTTGGTCAAATCCCTAATTGTATTTGGGCATCATTCAACTGTGCCTGCTGATTATATTAACGCCTATCAATAAGCCAAACTTAAGTCAAATGTCAACCCAAAACACTCAGGAAAAAGGTATTCATTTTCATATCTAAATTGTCTTGAGAATCTGTATAGTTATAGTAAATATAACTACAGTAAATCTTGACTTGTATCCGTAATATTTTCCGAGTGCACACACGCGACTTGCAGGATGCAGGATATCATCATTACCTAACCCCATAAACCACTAGCCACACAGGCAAACTCCAGCTCCTTCCTCCCTCTAATCTCTCGTTTCCTTCACCCGCATGGCAGGACCTTAATGAGCGGCCAGCGCTGTCCAAACGATAATCAAATCAACCAGCAAATCGTTGTTGTCACCGGCGGCAGTGGCGGCATTGGTTTCGAGATAGCCCAGGCTCTGGCCGGACGTGGTGGCCGCATAATCCTTGCCTGCCGCAATCTCAAGGCTGGTGAACGGGCGGCGGCTATAATTAAGCGGGAGTTGGGATGCCGCACACCCATTATATCACCGGACGAGGACGACGATCCGGCGGACAGATATTTCGTGGAGGCTCGCTACTTGGACCTATGCTCACTCCGGAGTGTCCATCACTTTGCCAGCCAACTGATGGCGGAATTCGAGCGGATCGACATTCTCATCAACAATGCCGGCGTGGTTTTCGCCAATACCCATGTGCCCACAGAGGATGGCTTTGAGCGGCACAGTCAGGTGAATTACCTGGCTCCCTTCCTGCTCACCCACCTGCTGCTCCCGCACTTGAAGCTCTCGGAGCAAGGACGCATTCTGTTCGTCTCGGCCCACGCCCATCAGGCGGCCAAAATCGATTTCGACGATCCTTTGAATGTGGGCACCTGGGCGGTAAAGTTTCATGCCCGTGAAGCCTTTGCCCACTCGAAGCTCTGCGTCCTGCTGGCCACTCGCTGGCTGGCCAAGGAACTAAAAGGTAGGAGAAGAAGCCAACAGGGATTTGGGAACTGCACTCAGAGGAACTGTAATCATTTCGAGCAGTGTTTTTCGAGGGCTATCTCAATTGCTCATTAAGTCAGTGAAGGTTTAATTAATGAGTTTGACGGTTTTGTATGCCTTTGCAAAGGGGTTTTTAAGTTTTTCAAGTATTTTAAAGTCCACAAGTAAATGGCATTTTAATTCCAAATTAATTAATAATTTCCTTTGCATAACCTGCACTCTGAATTATTGAGGTATTCACTGTGTGCATTCTTGATTTTGGTAAAAACAAATAACAAAGCTGCACTAATTTCCCCACAGGTACTGCGGTCACGGTCAACTGCTGCACCCCAGGACTCGTTCGTGGGACCCGACACTTTCGCAAGTAAGTGACTAGAACAAATAGTAGTAAGTAGAGAATTTCTAGGGAATCCCCGTTAAAACAAGAGAAAAACCCCCAAAACTTGGTAAAGAAAACCCGCAACCAAAATTGAAATTCAAACGAAAGCGGAGCAAAGTGCAAAATGCAGCTGAAACTTTAACTACATTTTAAGCTCATTTCGTGGCCGCGCTGGAAAGTTTTGCACTTTCATTAAGCAGGACTAGTTTTTGTCTCTTTCGGTCCTTCTCCCTATCTCTCTCTTATCCTTGTATCCTTGTACGTATTTGTTTCTATCTATGTCTGATGTCGGTTAAAAGGGGGCGGTTCGTTTTGATGCAATCAAAAAAGTTGCCAAGTCACTTGGGCGTGGAAAAGGCCCTTTCCGCTTTTCCTCTTTCTTTTTGGACAGCAAATATCAAGGACAAATTCATTTAAACATTTCAAATTAGTTTGCCAAATACTGAGAACCGGCCTAATGCAAATGGATACTTGGAATATGGAAATATATGCAAGGACAGCAATGAGATTCAGAGAAATAATAAAATTATTAATAAATTCTTTTAATGGCAATGATAATACCTAAACAACTGGGTATATTGCTTATGTTTAAGATTAATTGTTAGGTAGAATACTCTTAATTAATACTTATAAGAAATGAGCCATAATTCAGTGGATAGTAAAACCTAATCCAAATGATATAACTAGAATGCAACCTTTTCCATTGAATTAATTTAATTTCCAAATTTAATTGCCTCTAAATAATAGTTATAAATCAAGAAATAAACCTACACCCCGTAAATGCACAAGTTATAAAGCCAAGAAAAGAACATTAAACAATTCTCCCCAAACCAGAATCTCATTACGGCTCACGGTCACTTCTGGTTGCCATCGATTTTTTATTGTACACGATTACCATTAGTTGCCAGCACTTAGGCCAAAAGCATATTCAACCGTAACCATTTTTGCAATGTTGGGATCTACATTTGATTTCTAAATCCATTTTTAAGGCATGCAAATTAGTTGTGAGTTTGTGAGAAAAAAGGCAAGGACAGTGGAGAAGGGCATTTGCACAATACACCGAAAAGGATGTGCAAACACGAGAAACAGTTGCAAATTGCGGAAGGACTAAATGCCAGCAACAACAGCTATCAGGAGCCATATCAGTTGTGCACTTGAAGAAAAGGGTTATAGTTCTAGCAAACTGAATTTTATATAAATTAATTTCAAGAGAATTTAAAGAAAAGTTGTATTACTTATGGTATTAATTATCTTTAGGTTTCTCTTTGTTAAAGTAACAAACTAATGTGGATTTTTTTTGCTGTGCCTCAACAATGGGTCTGGGTGGCAACCAAAGCAAAGGACAACAGCTGCAATGAACTTGCCCCAAACCACGCCCAGTCCTCATCATCAGATGCAGATGAGCTGCCATCGAGTGGCACTCGCACTCTCACTGGCCCTCGTCCTGGCACAGCCACAGGACGAAGCGAGCCAACCAAAGGGCGGCAGCAACAAAGGCCAAATGCGGTAATTAAAAGTGGCCAAGTCAGAGACGCGGGTCGGCCGCAATTGAAGCGGCAGGCGAGGGGTCAGGATCAGAGGGGACTTAGTTTCAGACCAGGACAGACCATGCTCCTGGTTGGGTCAACTTCGCCCGCCGGCCTGCCACGTCGTCGCTTTGAGTTATGACCCAGACACACACACACACACACACACACCCCGGTGACAGTTGCTGGCTTTGTTGATGTTGCCAACAACGTTGACATTTTGGCAGTTTTCTGGACAGATTTATACTTCTTTTGGGATCATCATCATCATCAGCACAGCACAGGAGAATATATATCAGATGCAAAATGTCTGGTGAAAAGAAAGATATTTGATTTATTTTCTGAAGTGTCAAAAGCAGTTTTAAAATTATATTTAAGAATAAAGAGTCTAGAAGTTATTTTATATTCCATAAAAAATATCATCATCAGCTCCGACGGAGAATATAAATCAGTTGGAAAATGTCTGGCGAAAGGAAGATATTTGATTTATTTTCTGGAAACTCTAAAGTGGTTTTAAATCTCAAAAATATATTGAAGAATAATGAGTGTAGAATTTATTTTCATTTTTTACTCTATAATATAAATCCTCCTATATATTTATTTTAGCACAAGTATTGAGCATTTCATGGAAAAACTATTACTTTTGACAATTTACTTTTGACAATTTAAATTATAGAATAAAGAACTCTTGCTTATAATTCCTATATTTTCCTTCATTAAAACCTTAAAAAAATTTAAGTTAATAATGTAAGGTTTCATAATTTATTAAGATCCTGGCATCTCTGGTTGTCAGCATCCAGTTTGGCGCCACACTGTGAACTAACTCCTGGCCATGAACGTGAACGTGGCCCTGGGCCAGTCGCCTAATGACGGGTCCAGAATTAATGCGAAATTTATTGATGCCCTCCTAAGCTGGCACAAAAGTTTTCCCTTGTTTTTCTTTTGATTTCTTTTTATTTTTGGCAGTTATAAATTAGAATTCTCGGACAATGTGCGGGCAGAGCGAACACCGCTCGACCCTGAATGCGAAATCATTTCGCAGGAAACACATATATTTAGGATGTCCACTTTGGGGACAACAAAATGTTTGCAGATTATTTCACGCGTGGCATTAAGACCATATTTATTATTTAAATGATAATTTGTATACCCAAAAAACAAAGTTTTCTATGATTGAGCAGATTAAAATATTTGTGTAGCATTTATTGAGGTTTAAAATGTAATGTATGCCTATTATCTAATTAAGTATTAGGAAGGCGTCATTAGATTTCAAAGTTATTGTGCACAAAACACCATTTACACATGTAAATGGGTATTAAAAGCTGAGCCCATTGGAAAGCCTTAAAGCGTAGGACAATAGGTGGACACACCTCACTCGAGGACAATAGAGAGCAGGTGCTCAAGTGTGTGGCACACGCACGAGCTCACTCCAGACACCCCAGCTCACACACACAATGGCAGTGGATGTTAACACGGCCAACACGTACAACAAATTACACAATTCAATGGCAATAAATGATGTAAAGTGGCAAGAGGGTAGAGTGCCTCAGATTTAGACACACTTGCCGTGGCAAAAGTTGGGCTGTCACAAGCCAGAAAATCATAATCCATCATAGCAACAAATTGTACTGTCTGCATTCGTACAAGTCCTAACTACCGGATGGAAATGCCGTTCCCCCGTTTTCCTTATCTGCCTACCAAGAGTATGAAACATTGTTAACATGCGTCATTACAATTTGCAAATGGCCATAACAATACAGCAGCAGCAGCAAAAAAGTGGCCCGAAAGAAGGAAATCAAATGCCTCGGCCCCGGCGAGAGCGTACAAATCATTTGGACATAAAACGCAGCACCTTGACAGGTGAAGGCCAGAATGGCGGATGGTTTTACCTGGAAATGGGGAAACAAAGATGTGGAGCAATAGGTAATAGGTCCTCCGCTCTGCTCCTATTGCCATAGCACGTGACCCAAGAACAATGGTGGCGTCAAGCCACCAAACTCACATCCTAGAGATGAGCACTGAATCTTAGATAAGATCAATTGGGGTCTGGGGAAAATTCTACGGCAATCCTGACTTTTATTTTTCAAAAGTTTTAAATTAGTTTTAATTTGCTAAAGGCTTTATCTGACTTCTTATCAATATGCCTCAACTTTAACATTGTTTTCAACCTGCTAGAATGTATCCTTATTTTGTTATCCTGCAACTGGCACAGCCGCCAGCGAGGGGAGCAAAGTCAAAGCAAATTAAACGAAATAAAACACATGCTCACCTCTAGTGGCCAGGAAAAAATTCCCATTCTCGTCGAAACTTGGCCAACTGCTGCGGGCAGCGGCAATAAAACAGCAAATGAACAGCGGAAGCAACATCAAGTGGCTATGGATGTACCGAGTGGGTTGAGTTTGGGTCCTCCATGGGTTTGGATGTATGGCAAGACTGGTTGATGTACACACATAACATAGTACACATATGTTGGAGCAGCACTGAGAGAAATTTGTATCCGTTCTCTAAATCTATAAAATATTTAGAATTGATTTTCTTGGCCATTAAAAATGGAAAAAAGTTTCTGACGGAGTATTTAATACGAATTGAGACAGAGAAGCTGTATTGTTAAAATTTGTGTATACTCTTGAATGAGTAAAAATATTAAAAACGTATTAATTGTATTTCTGGAATAAAAATATATTCTTAAAAATGATTTCAAACAATTTTATCCGATTACGCAATGATATTTCGTATGAATAAATGCACTTCTTGTATTAATTTGATCTAATGTAATCAAAAAACTCTTTCGATAATCCCCAATTTTTTCTCAACTTTACAAATGCAAATTTAAGCAAATTTCTTGCAGTGCACAAAACTTACATGCATTGGCTTCCTGTCCATCGGATGTCTGCCTTGCTGTGCTTTTTGCTGCTGCATTCTGTTACATGTTTTGCCTTTGCAAGTAGATTTTCCTTTTACAGACTTTGCAGCGCCAAATTGAACTTTTGTTGTGCTTCACCTAGTAACCCCTAGATCCCCCGCTTCCTTCCTTACTTCCGTTCTCTGCATACTACAATCCTTTATATATACATATATATACATATATGTTATATCGGAGATAGTTGCAACTTTCGTTGGCAACTGTAAAAGTGCTGAAGCAGCTGTCAGTCTCATCCATGCAATTCCTTTTTTGCCAGGACTCCGCCCACATCCTGACACTCCTGGGGTTTTTTTTATGCGCTGCTATTGATGGAAAACTGATACCTGCTGGTCTTTCGAGATTGCGGCTCTTATGCTTATCAACAAGGCTTCGCTTTTCTTATGCATTTGGGATTTCAATGCAAATTTTCTTTTTCCCTGATTTATAGTAGAGCAAATGCTTAGCAATGAAAAGAATTCGTTAAATAAACGAAGAGAAAATCGAAAACAAATGATAAAATTAAATATAAATAAGTAAAGAAAATCAAGCTATTATCCTTGACCACCATATGGACATATGAACACACCATATGTTCCATTAATATATAATCGCCGTAGAAAGCCACTTAACCCCATCGAACTCTCCTCAGGAGCTTAAATTTCCCTCCAATAAAAACAATTATCACGGCGTATATGCTATTAATTCCTGCCCAAGAGCGGATTCAATTTCCGCCCGTGGCCCATCTATTGTGGCATTAAGGAAAATGGTCGGAAAAAGGGCTTGTTCTGTTTCCCATTCAAGCCATTTTGCTGCGCTTTTTCATTTGGCTTGCAGCGCACTCACACGAACAGGTAAAAGATTTTCCACGCTGCCGGTGGCAGGTGGCACGGGTCGGGTCTTTAAATGAACTTTGCCCTGCTGCAGCTTAGCGAGTCAAGCTGAACTTACCAATCCCACGAACCCGAAAGGTGTGTGAGTATATCAGACATGATGAGTAACGGGGCGTATACGCAATATTAATTCCATTGAAGCAGAGCACTATGGCTTATTGAATAGCACAAATGGAAGTGTAAATACAGTAGAAGTTATTTTATAGATGTTAGCTGTGCTGATGTATTGGAAAATGTATATTAAATAATTATAATTTAATTAACCTAAAATCTAGATGGTCGTTCTTATCTAAATCCTTATATTCTCTAGAAAAATTCAATTAAAATACCCAAAAAAAACACCCAAAAATCTCCCATTTTATCCCGAAAATTTATTAGTCTTCGCCTAGTAATCTCACCAATATATTGTTACATTGTAAACACCCATTAATCAGTGGACCTAAGCAGTAACCCCCGAGTCTAAGCCACGACCTGGTACACATACATTTATTTATTTTTTTTTTTGGCTTAGACGTTTTCCTCTTTTCCTTTTTTCCTCTTTTTCCTGCAGCTTTCTATGCACTTTAAAAATGCAACCAGTGGTGTGGCGATGGGAGGGCATAGGATGGGCTTAATGGCGGGTGGTTTGTGGGTGGGTCGGAGGGTGCAAGGACAGATACTGGTATCTATGAAAACGTTGGCGTAAAACGATGAATGGAATCAACACCAGCCTCGACCCAGGGACAAGAAGTATAAACTTTTACAGGGAAGTGGGTGTTCCCAGGGTTCAGGAGGAGGTGGAAAAAGAGCAGAGTCCAGGGCCAGGTCAGACACATGAACGCATAGTGATGGGAAAGGTACTTTATTGTGGAAGAGGTACAAAATAATTTAGGGAAATAATATAACAAAAAAAGGATGTACTAAAGGATTTTCAAAACTAATACAAGAGAGTACATAAAACAATTACCTAAAACATTACGAATATTACCTTTCTCAGAAATAAATGTATTTTATAAATCATCATTAGGACGTATACCTTTAAAATAAAGTAATTTTACTTCTTTTGTAGAACATTTATAATGAACATTATTCAGTTAAAGTTTAGTAAAATTGTAGCTTAATATTTAGGTACTTATGTTGGTACCTTAGACACCCCCAACTCTATGCACACATGATGACCCTTTTATTGTGAATCCTGGAACTGTGCGTACTATGAAATGAATGAAAATGAAAAGCAGTTAATGCTCAAGTCACGGAAAAAGCGTAAATGGAAAAGTTAAACGCATTAATTATTTATTTATCGTTTTATCGTGTTCAAGTGTCGGTGAACTTGCTCACCGTTCACCGTTCGTTGCCCGTCTGACAACAAAAAAAAAGGCAACAAAAAAATAAAAACAAAAGGAAAAAAAGGAAGTGCGGATACGAAACGTTAACAGCGACAGCTAAGCAAATTGCGCGCAAGTTCGTAATCCTTCCTGAAAAGCCAACATCTGTAGCACACAGAAAAAAATAATATATAATATATGTATATATTCTACACTTTATTCAAGAACTTTACTAAAAAGGTAAAAGTACTTATACTTATTGTCATTGAAAATATAAAAAGTATACTTTAAGATCCCAAAAGCCAAAACATTTTTAGTGCTAGTTTCTTTCAGTGCAGAAAAGAAAATCCGGGAAGTGAAAGAAATGGCATGGGGGCTGGTTGGTGGGTGGCCATTTCACACAACTCGTTGGGCTCAGCCGCTGAAATTGGCCGACGCCCAGCTGCCGGCAGCGGAGTTGGCCAAAAGCTGGAGATCAACGCTTGAGCGCTTGAATTGAATGGAGGACATCTGGTGGCCAACGCGGCCTCCACCATTACCACCAACCACCACCCCATCGTCCTTTATCGCCCCAATTGAAAATGTCATTAAAACAATGCACCAAAAAGGAAATTGTTTGAAGTTTCCTTAAGAGGCTGGATTTAGAGTAGTACAAACTTTACAGAAAACTTAGCTGGGATTTAACTATTTAAATTAAAGCGGAATCTGCGTTGAATGCTAAGCAGGAACAGAAACTTCCGCAATAAATTGTTTTGTTAATTTTTAAGTTTCTGCATAACTTACAAAGTTGACGAAAATTCCACAGATTGTTTATCAAAACAAATTTAACTGGCCAAGCGCAATCAACAGAATAAGTACTTATGTATTTTCCTTGCCCACAACATTTATTGGGGTAAAACGATGTAAATAAATCAGAGAAGAAATCTCTTCCGCATTTATTTTCTTTTATGATGGACATACAAATGTTTTACAAACTTTGTAAACAAGTGGTGGAAGAGGCATTTCCTTTTTAGATTTTTATTATTAAATAAATCTTAGGGTTTGTTGTTTTATGGAATTTTATATAAGGAAATATAGAAAAATATTGTAATAAAAATTATTGTGATAATACTAATAGATTAAACATAGGATTCCCTGAAACTTTAAGGGAAAATCAATTATTTTTTAATACTAACTATAATGCTTCCCGCTTAAAGTTTTCAGACATTTTCATTACATGCTTCTTTACTATATACAATTTCTAAAGCCTGAAAATCCATTTAAGGAGCATCCTTTGGTTTAAACACTTGCCACCGAAATTAAGCTTCTTGTTCGCATTGACAATGGCTACATAATTGGTTAACTTTTTGCCTTCATTTCCGTTTCCGGCCAGCTCGCCACTGATGTCGTCCATCTGCGTGAAGGCGGTCACCTACCCATGGATGTGGCTGTTCATGAAGAACCCCTACGAGGGCGCCCAGTGCGCCATCCGCCTGGCCACGGATCCCCAGCTGAAGGAAGTCACCGGCGAGTACTTCAAGTGAGTGCAGTTGCCATGGCCACTACGCGCTTCACTCCAGATCCTGTTGGCCGCATTAGCGCCACTTTGTTGGCCACTTTTTACTACAACCAACTTGCCTTTTTGCCATTTTACCGTTTCGCCTCTCTTGTTCGTTGCAGTGACTGCGAAATCGTGCAAAGTTCGGAGCCGGGCCAGGACAAGGAGTTGGCCAAGAAGCTGTATATGCAAACCATAAGAACTCTCGAGACCGTTACCAAACTAACCGTCGACAAGGAGCTGCCGCTGGAGGCGGAGTCTGAGCTGAGGCTGGAGGCGCCGCCGGATGCTGAAGCGGATTCGGATGCGGAAACGGAAACGAACCGGGCGGCGGAAGGGGCTTCGGTGGACCGGCAGACATTGGTGGAGTGATTTATGCCTGGCACGCGGCCTGAGTTCCTCAGGGACTGCCAACTGCAACGTCTATTTGCATTTGGTTTAACAATTGCCGCATTAGGCAGCCTCCTCCTTAGCCTCATCCTCAGTCCGTTCCCCCTTTTTTTATGGCTCCCTGACTTTATGTATACAGTAACTCTGCACTGCCCGCCCCCCTGATATCCCGGAAATAAATGCAACTTTAATGTGCGAGCACCGAGAATTTGCTGAGTTTGTACTTTTCTTTTTACAGAGCGAAGGGCTAAATATGTTGCTGCTTGTGCCTCTGATTTATTTCCAATTTCAAATGCTTTCGCTTGAACGAGAATCCCTGCCAAAGACCTGAATGGACAGTCACCAGAAATTTGCATAAATAATATAAAGCGCAGAAAGCACTTTTGGGGATTTTTAGGGAATAACAAAAAGTTTGTCCCCATGAAGGCTGGGATATTTATTTCATACAGTAACTTTTTAAACAGATTTAATTCTTTAAATAATGGTTCTTTAAGTAGAAAAGATCTACAAATATATATTTCAAATAAAGTACCAATAATTATAAAAGCTTTTAGTCGAATTAAGCTAGCAAATGTAATTTATTTTTAAAGATGCTTGGATTGTAATTTAACTATATAAAAGCTCTAATGATTTGCTACAAATTACAAAGCCTGTTTTATCATATGTTCTATTAATTACAGATCTTATTACCATTACAAAGAACCTATACATAACATATCCCATAAACCCAGAAAGCAAACAATTGCAGTCCAGCTCAAAAATAAAATGTCTAAGGCTTATTTCAATTAGAGAATTCATGTTCATGCTCCTCTAAATAAAACCCAAATAGCACTCTCGAATGGTTATCGTAAATTTGGAAATCTAAATGCCGAGGGGGATTCCCATGAACAACAAGAATGGGCTAATTGCGAAATGCCTTTCCATGGCGCCCCTCGCAACCCTTGGGCCAAAATGGCAGCGCGTGCCAACAAACTGTTGATTACCCGCAACAACAGCACCAGCAAGGACCCCAAAACGCACACAAGTCCGGAATCCGGATCTATATACATATACATATGTATATATATAGTATGTACGGTGTGTATGGATGTATGGACGGAAAACAAGAGACAGAGATGCAAGGCCAATTATTTTTAGTTCAGCTAAAACCGATTTCTATTATAATGTGTGTACATTGTACAATGCGGGGCTTAGAAAAGGACCTGGCACTGGCAGACAGTCGGCGCAATCAGAAGACCAGGAAATGCACTGAAAAAGTTATTATAAAATTTTTTGCAAATTTTTTTAAAAGTTTAACTAGTTTTTAATTAATAATTTTTTATGCAAAGAAATTTCTAAACAAATTTCCTTTTTCGAGGAGTTTCTATAAATTGAATTATTTACTTGAGAAAAATGGGGCTTAAATACTATAAGAACACCTTAAAAGATATATTATTTAATATATTAATATTGTATATTTGTTAACGTTTCTTAAATACAACAAATACCTACAAAATATTTTATTTATAGCTAGGACACGTCTTTAAAAAACAGGCCAGAGTATTAAAGTCTTCTAAAATGTTAATAAAACAGCTTATTCCATTTAGGTTCCAACCTTTATCAAATTCTTTTAGTACAAATAATAAATTAACAGGTTTCGTTTTAGAAACTGCAAGCTATTATATATTATATTTCCCAATATATTAAATTTCACCCTTAATTAATTTAGTTTAGTTTTTAAAAACTTTTGCAAATTTCGTTCCATGCAGCAGGACGCATGCAACTGTCTCGACGCAGCCCCGCTTTGTATGCTATGGAAAATCTCTTTATTATATTACGTGCGGCGCTTTTGTTGTCAGTTGGCAGGCGGCACAGCCCCGACAACAACAAAAAGCCAGCCTCTGGTCGTCCCTCGGAAAAATAACCACCCCCATCATCATCCAGACTCATCCAACAACATCCCCCCTCCTCGGCACACAACACAACATTTTCAGCCGAGGGTAAGCGCCATGTGTTGCTAGAGCAATTTTATGCTTCCCTTTTTTCGGAGTTACTTCGTTTCACTGGCCCAGTTCTGGGTTTCCCCCACATTTTTCCGACGCTGCTTTGCTCTGCTGGAAAGCTCTTAGTGTGGAAAAGCGATTACGTTCCTGGCGAAAAGCTTTACGTTTCCGGTTACCTTTCCGCCATGGCGTGTTACCATAATATGCAGTTTACGCGCTTCCATTTAACTGCCGGAAGGAGGGTTCCCTTTAAGCTACCTCTACCATGTGCATCTGAAAATCATATAAATTGTATTTTTTTTTCAGTGTAGAGTAGAGCTTTTTGGGAGCAACAGCCGCCCATTAAAAGCCCGCTTAATTGACTCTCTTCGAGTGCTTGTTGTTACTCTTAAACTGTTGATTTCTCTTTTGATTTTTGAATTATTAAAATATTACGTATACGCCAGGTGTGCCAAGAATAATGTTTTATACTTATTAAACCTTTACATATTTAAATTTAACGGTAATTTGTTATGGTTATTCGTTAATTTAAATGTTTTTATTTCAACCAAAATTATTAAAATCATTAAATTCAATTAATAAAACTTATTTTATTCACCTAACAACCCTGCCATTCTCTTAAGCTTTACACACTCTCTTTTGCTGAAAATTTGCTCAACTCTCTTTGTTACAACTCTCAAGCTTTTTAGACACCTGTGAGAAAGCTTAGCAATTATGGTTTTTCGCGGATTGTAAACAAACGCCCAGCCATAATCGAGAAGATGAGTAAATAAACAATCGAAGAGCGAAAATAAAATAAAATAAAAGCGCTTTGAGGAAACGCGTCAAACGGAATGTTGAAAGAATTTGTAAAGTGATGCGGTATTTGGAATCAGCATCCCGAAAATCTTGAATTCTCCCGCCAACTGTGCTCTCCGACTTCTCGCGGAGAATGTCTCTGGCGGGGGGGGAGATTTTCGAGAAAAGAGAGCAGGGAGCACGAGAGCCCGAGTTGAGTTGAGCTCGGCGATTCCATTTGGATTTTGCTTTTGCCGCCGCCGCTGCTGCTGCTGCTGATTTTTGCGATTTGCGATTGCTTTTGAAAATTTCGCTTCAGTTGCGCGGTGGCCGAGGCGAAGTGCAAACGTGCGAAATTTTCTCGTTAACCTTTTTTTTCGGCGACAAAAAGCAAAGGCAACGTGTGGACACATTCACGATGCTGCCACACGAGTAATAAAAAAGAAAAATAAAAAGAAAATACTACGGAACACACACACACATACACACTCACCATACAAATATTGAAAATTCTAAGGAAAGCGCGCCCGGGAAATGGGGCACAAGTGCAGGTGTGTTGGTATCTAGCTACGGCTTCGACTTCTTGTGTGTGTGTGTTTGTTTGTGTGCATATTAATTATTCAAATTAATTGCAAGAAAATTTTTAACAAGTCTATATATATATTCATATACATATGTGTATTTTTGCCAAGTGTTGCATCTTAAATGAGTGTAAAAAATAATCGACACTGTGTCCGGGGCAAGGCGAAGTCGTCAAGTGACGCCACCAGAAAAGAAATTAAATGGAATGAATAAAATTTTCCTGGAGAAACAATAAAGTTTAAGTGCCACACACTTGGTGGCTCCTTGGACGTTTCCCGCTATTATATCATCCTGTGCATATAAGTGGAGTGTGTTTCCCTGTTAATGTCTGTACGTGATACGTGTTGTTGGAAGTTTTCCTTACGAAATTTATCATATGTGGGTAAATTAAAAACATATATTATCAGGAACATTGATTTATGAATAATATTTGGAAAATAAACCATTTCAAGTATAGTATATTATGCTTTATTGTTTGTATTTTATGCTCTTAATGAAGATAATGAATAACTTACTACACAAAATTAAATATAAATTATTTAGTAGCTTCAAGTGATTGGGAAATATATATCTAAGCTACTCTGCAACTTCTTCTTATCCCAAATTCTATTCAAAGTCAGTATTTCGTTGCTTTATTTTGCTCAAAATTTATATAGCATATTTATGACTCCCCAATGGATCCTGGCTGCCAATAAATCACTTGAACTTTCGAGGCCATAATATTTACCGAGTAGCCACTGTACTGTACTGTACTGTTGTCCTGCCACGCTCCAATGCAAATGTTTGTCTGCGCCCGCGCCCGTTAATATTTATTTGCTCCTTTTATCCGGAGAACCGCCCGCTTGGTGTCCTCCATTCCGCCCCGCCCGGCACTTGAGCTAGAAAAGCAAACAAAAACACATTCGAGTTGTTCCTTGGCCTTGGTATTTATGGCCGGTGCGTCAGCCTGTGGCACACACACTTAACATGGAATACTATTACTCTTGGTCCCATTATCGCATCTATGTACATCCCTCGAGATTTTATACCATCAGAAAAACTTTGAGGAAAACTATTGTACCATTTCCCAATTTAGAGTTGGAATATACAATGTTCGTGTGAAATATAAAGCTTAGAAAATGATTTATGACAGTTTCTGATTAATATCATCATTTATTTGCATTTAGGTTCATATTTTTCAATGGAATTATAGAACTTTTACGTATTCTTATTAATAAATAATCTAATTACGCAGAGGTTTTTAAAATCGGTTTTTATAAATTAAAAAATTATTAAATTTCGCATACTTATTTTAGCATTATTTTCTCTGTAATGAATTGCTTTTAAAGATATACAAAAGTTATTCATTATATGAATGTACTTCAATACTTGTCTCATTAAAATATTGCCTTGAATTCAGCTTAAAGTACATATTTTAGTAGTAATTTTTTATTAGTAATAAGTCTTATCAAATACTTTATTAGATCATTGATCACACATTTCTTTCCTGTGTATGGCTTTCGCCTGGGCTCCACCCGCAGTGGAATTTGAACTTGTCGTGGCATCATCATCGCATCTCGTTCTCGCTTTCGTTCTCGTGCTCAGCTCTGAATTATTATCACCTTGCTAATTATCTATCGATGATGATAATGCTGCTTCTGATGGTGATAATGATGATGCCATTTGAATCCCCTCTCTATCGCCACCCCGTAGCCCAATCTCCTACGAATCTCTTATCAGTACAAAGCGCGCGACTTTTGCGTCGTCTTTGTCTATTTGCATTTTATTTCGTTTTTTTTTCCTCTTTGGGTTTGTTTCACATGAATCGAGAAATCTAATAATATTCAAACCAAATAAACATGTGAGTACGGTGGCACAATCTCCAAAAGAACAAGAAAGCCATCCGATAGCAATCCGAAGGCAGTGGGAGCTAAAGTAAAAAAACCATAAAAAGCCAAAGATATGTCTCTATTAGCAAAAAGGCATATTTTTAAATAAAGATGACTTGAAAAACTATTTAAGAATTAAAACATTTATTTGCTTATTTGAATATATATTCAAGTTCATGTAAAGATTTTCATGTTTCAACACAAGCAGCAAGTCTGAAAATGCAATATGTTTGCCATTTGAACTGAATTTATTTTGGCATTTTTGGCATTGAGCTTTTAAAATTTATTGATCACCTATTAATCTAAAAATAATTTAAGCATTCTTATAATTCTTAAAATTTCGAATGTTTGCGTACTCATTTATAACTAAGTTTAAGGAATCAAAATAAATCTTTTTTATTTTCTTTGCTTAACCTTCAAACTAGGTCAAGATGGATTAACAGTAATTAAGAAGATAAATATATTAATGTTCTATTCAAGATAAATTTAACTTAATGCATAAATATCCATCTGAATTTTAGGAATTTAAGAACTTAAATAGACCTAAAAAGACTATTTCACGTACTTTTTTTTATTTTTGTATTTATGATTTAGAAAGTGCTTCGTAATTTGTTCTTTTTAAAAGTCAAGATGATTAATAGATATTTTTTAATTTATAACTATTATAAATATTATAAATTTAAAAATTCATTGAAGAAAGAGTAAAAAAGAGACATGGCTCAAGAAGTCCAACTGTAAATCGATCATTACTAAGTCAAAAATGCACTAATTTTAATTCGGAAAGCTTTCTAATGTTAGTTGTAATTAGGCTAATAAATCTGTTTACTCAATTTAAAATTTAAAACAATTAAATTTTTTGTAAATTTTTGAAAATTTTAATGATTTAACCCCTTATAAAATTTTAAAACTGAAAAATTTTGAAAAATGTTTTTGACCTGACACTACTAGATCGACTCAGCTATTGATGCTGATCAAGAATATATATGATTTATTGGGTCGGAAATTATTCCTTCACTGCGTTTTAAGCTTCTGATGGAAGTTATAATACCCTTGCAAGAGTATAAAAATACTAAGAGTATATATATTACATTTCTTTATTAAGTTTTCTTTTGTTTACTTTAAATTACTTCAAATTTTTCTATTGCCACCGGTTTGTTGTTTTTTAATTTATGGAATTGTGCTTGGAGACAACACACAACGGCTGCAGCCTTGGTGGAACCTTTTAGTTGTCGCTGAAAAGGAAATCACCTTGGCCCTGGGGCCGGCTAACGGTAACGGGAAAATCGCTTATCAAGCCACAGAACCACAACCATGCCCTCCCCGCCCGTCCCCGCACAGGTAGTTTTTCTCGCACAGCCTTGACAATGACAGCGAGCGAAGAAAATGGGCGTTAAATGGATGAGGATTGGGGGGCAGCGGGGGCGGATAAGAGTGCAAAAAACTGAAGCCGAGTAAGAGCGGGGAGAAAGCCCTATTCTGGGGTTATGGGGGGCAAAAGGGGGGAAATTGGAGAGCGCGGCTGTTACAACAAATAAACAAAGGAAACAAACAAACTGGGCAACAAATGGGAGAGAGTCTAGGGGGTGGGGGTAAGACTATGCCGGGTCGAGTGCTTTGGTTCATGTCTCACATCAACACACACACACACACATACACAAGCTCCATCTCCGTCCCTGTGCCTCTGTGTCTCTGTCTTTCTCTCTCTTTTTCTCTCTCCTTCGTTTTGCTCTGCCAAGTCTTTCTCTATACGCCAAAATACACAGGGAGAAATATCTTTGAATATAATAATAAGATTGACAAATTATATATTAAATAAATTGATTATTTTAAATATAAATGGATCAAGTAAAAACTAAATTTAAAAGGCATCTGACCATGCCATAAAATAATTCTTAAACTTATGATTTTAATTTCAATTTATGATTTGGTTATATATGATTGATATATGATGTATATAAGATATAAAATTCCAAACATGGTAGCTCTAGCTCTGACAGTCTCTAAGACCCAGGCAAAGTTAGTCAAGGGAACTAAAGGGCGACATACGAACATAACGGATAAACGGACTTAACGGACAGATGGAGCCAACTGACATAACGGACAAACGGACATAAAGGACAAGCAGACATAACGGATATAAATGGCAGACGGACCTATAATTATATATATTATAAAGTAAAAGATTTCTCCTTTGACTTTACCTATATATTTAATTAGCACAAAATTATTAAATTTATAAAAAAAGTTAAATAAATAAATTTAAGATTTATGTCACATTTATTTCATATATTTTTATATATAATTATACAAATAAATACTATGTAAGAACTAGAAGCTGAATTTTCATTCTTATTCGATAAAAACTAACTAAAATTGTTTACTTAAAAGTTACTTTAATCCCTACTTAGCTTCACTAAATTTATTGTCAGTGTAATAAAACGGGTTTTGAGTTGCTTTTGCGCTGGCTACTGGGTCTGAGTTTGAGTTTAGGTTTGGGTTTATGTCTGGGTCTCGGACAGGCATTGGAGACAGAGACAGAGACGGGGGAGGGGACTGAGACTGGGACTTGGGACTGGGTCTGGGTCTGGGACTGGGTCTCCGGCATCGGCATCGGCAGCGGCGGCTTTGGCATTCAGTTGGCCAAGTCAGTTGCTCTTTTGGCTTAACAAACTCAGAACGTGCCGCGGCGATGGCAGTGACATCAAATTGCAGCGCATAGAAGAATAATAGTCAACAAAAACAAAAAATAAAGCAACTAGAACGGCGGCAGCACCAAGGAATCAGTAGTGTGTGGTGGCAGTAAAATCGAGGCAAGAGGAAGAATTCGGCTTAGTCACCATGGCCAAGTGGCATCCATTGGATGCAAGGCGGTGAAAATGTTCTCAGATGTGTGTGTATTTGCCTAATAAATTATTAACGGAATTTCGCCGAGGGCCAACGGCAGCTTGTTGCTTGAGTTGTTATGTAAATGCCAAATGTATCTCATGGATACCGCTGAAGTATCTTAATATCTGCGTCGTGTGTGTGTGTTTGAGTGTGCGTTTCAGCCTTGACTTTAAGCCGTGCTGCGTCATTTGTTTGTGCTCCAATTTCAGCTATTTCTCGTTTATTGTGTGGACTCTTTTTTTGGGGGCCAAACACTTGAGGACTTTTTGGAGCAGCCTCCTCCGCTTCCAGATGCCAGCAAGCAGAAAGCAGCCTCAATTGAAATTCAAAACGCACTCAGCTCCCAGCTGCGACTTTTGACTGATACACCTACTTAAAAAACAACAACCAGCGAGAATCCAGAAAAGAAAAAGACTCTCTCAGATACAAATTTAGAAAGTTGCCGAGTCTCTTTCATGGCTTTCATTTTGTTGTTCTTTTTAGTTGAATACTATTTCGAAGGGTATTATAAAGTTGGTAATACTAAAAACAATTGAAATCTAAAGAAGGATTATATATAGTATTTGTGGTTTCTAGATCATATAATTATTGAAAGCTATAAAATCTGAGTAATATTATTTTCTTTATGCATTTTTACTTAAATCTGTCTGCCTCTGCTCGTAAAAATTCATTTCCAAAGAAACTATAAATGAAATCTGTTTCCAATGGCAACAAATAAGTAGAAAATTATTATATATATCTTTCAAGAGCATATGTACAATCGACATGATGAAATTAGCTTTCTTTCTCATTCCTCTCTCTCTCTCCCTTTCTTTTACATCTCTTGGCATTCCTTTCATGGCCAACACATATTTTCCGTCATGATTTTTTAATTATTTTTTAATGTGCCACACACTATACTCCACTCCATAAATGGGTCACACAACACACACACATGGGCAGAGTACTTGAAAAAAACTTGGAAAGAATTCAAATCTCCCCAACAGAGTCCAGTTTTTTCTCATCGCAATTAACAACCAGTTTTATTTTTGTATAATATGTATAAAAAAATATAATGACGGGTGTGTACAGCACACAGATGGTTAGTCAAGAGGGCTACGTAATGGCAATTGAATCGGCTAATTGATTGGAGGATTATTTATGGCCCCATTGTCTCAGTGATACACGTTCCATGACCTAACTTACTAACTTACTCGTTAGCAGTCAGTCCATCAATATAATTTGATATCAGTGCGGGTATACTCTTCCAGTGACATTAAACCATTACCACAAGTAAAAAAAGAGTCCCCTTAGAGTTGAACTAGATTTCCCTCTGCATTCTAGCCTTAAACTAGGGGAAACCCATGCAGAATGTTGAGGTTTGTCAGCCTTAAATTCCTTTTGCGAATAAGGCTCAATTTTTAACAATACTGATTTTTTGTTACCTGTAAAAGCATTTTCAACTGAATAAATATCCTCTGCACTGAGCTACTTATACCTTTGATTGGTTAGCCCAACAAATTGCATTCTAATTGAAATAATTTCAACCATTAGGTAAAGTGCTGTTTTCGTCAAACTAAAAGGTTTTCTTCCACTTCTTTCCATATCATTCCAGTTGGTTTCTATGACCCAAAGGCGGCGGACATTTAGAACCGTGACCGACTGGATTCCTTGGTCCGCAAATCGAATCCAAAGCGCAGTCAATACAGAAGCATTAAAAGCATACCATAAAACTTACATTCGTCCTTGGCATTTGCAATAGCAAAATAACAAAATCCCAGTGGGGGCAGTCACCAAGCTTTGAGAAATCACTGCCAGCGAAGCGGAAAAGGGGTGAAGGAATTTTATTGAAATCCAGGACAGGAGGGAATCTCCGTAACCACTGCAATCCTGGCCCAGAGAAATCACAGCGCGTCAAACGGTAGCGGAAGCGGTGCCGGAGTCGGCAACGTTCCTGTTATCATGGAAGGACCGGAAGTCACCTTCCTTTTTCAATTCGGCAGCGTCCGTGATGCAGTCTGCGTGCCTGCCAATACCCTGACCCTCAAGTCACTCAAGGACCTGGCCTGTGACTTCATCAACACAAAGGTGAGAGGTGACTTTTCTTGTGGGAATTATACTTTAAAAGAATATATTTAAAGTAATAAGTAAGAAAATAGCTAGATATATATTGAATCCTTCCTGATATATGTAGCTCCTGAGCAAAATGCCGGAGTGAGAACCTAAGGTGGTGACCCATTTGGCCATTTCGTTAATTATGCAAAAGCCAACTTAGTTGTCATGTCAATGGTAAAATATTTTACCGAGAGTCAGAAGGCAAGTCAGTCAACATACGGTGCACAGTTAGCCAATAGTTTCTAACCAACTTTGGTTAGCCAATAAACATACAGTAGTCCCTGTGGGAAACTAACAAAGCCTCAAGTCACTTCCCGAGAGTAATTCTGTGAGTTTTTCCTTAGGTTCGGCCAAGGAAGATAATTCCTTTTAATGTTTATTATATAATACTGTCCCATGAAAAGAAATAATATGCCTTTAGCCACTGTATTTCTAACTAGCACGAGAAGGGTACACAAGAGTACAGGGCGGGATTAATAAATGTATGTGTGCACAGTAATTGCTTTATTTCATTAAGTTAGTCCAACTTACATAGGCATGGACTCATTTCCGCTTGGCCTGCGTCGCTCACGGGCAGCTATCCATGGCCAATTCAATTAACTGAGCCGCAACTGGTGGTGCTCCGTACAGCCATAGCCACGACATCTGCTCCTGGCACGGCTCCCTATCTTCCGGTATTCCTCCCGTCCGGAAATGCGTACCACAGCAGCAATCTGCTTTTGAGTAGAGTAAGCAAGTAATTTGGTTAGCTCTCGACCTCAAACTATCATAATTCCAACAGTATTCAGTTATTTTGACAACTAAATTTTGTTATTAAAATAATACAATTTTTTAATTTGTTAGAGCATTTTGCAACAATGTTAAATTCCTGAGTTCCGCATTGTTGTTCCGTATCAATTGAAATCAATATGATATTTTGTACATATGGCTGGGGCTTGGATCTTATCGCCAATCAATTAAGATATGAATATGATATGATAATGGCCCCGTTCGATGCAAAAATGAGCGTTAAATGAAGCCCAAACATCGCAAATGGACAGTGTCGCTCTGCGATTGTGATTGAGGGAAACTCGTGCTCTTCTTATTAACCATATTTCTATTCTGCTTTTGGCCATTTTCAGATACCGGACAGCGGTCTCACGTATCTGTCGGAACGCATACTCCTTTTTGTCCACGACTACAGTACACCAAATGTGCTGCACATCATCAATTCGGCAGCGGAGGTGGTCGATGAGACGCTTGTGGAAATTGTGCTGACCGCCAGTCGTGAGTAAACTTTGTCAGCATTTTGATAAACACTAAACTAAATCCCTAAACCCTTTTAAAATGAATATATGTAAACACCAAGTAACCTTATTTTCTCTCTCTGCAGCCATTTTGTACCCAACCTCCGAGATGCCGACCCTCAAGCCGCATAGTTTGAACGTGCATTCCTACAAGGGACCGACCTTCTGTGATTTCTGCGGCGAGATGCTGTTCGGTCTGGTGCGTCAGGGTCTTAAATGCGATGGTATGTGGCAAGGCCATGAAAATGCAACTGCAACCGACTAATCCTCGAACTAAAAACCCACTCCCACTCCCACCCCCACTTCCACTCCCATTTCCATCCACAGGATGCGGGCAAAACTATCACAAGCGTTGTGTGGTAAAGATACCAAACAATTGCAGCCGGTCGAATGACGCCACTTCGCGACGCTCCTTTACGCTCCAGGCTCCCCGCAGCCCGTCCGGCAGCTCCCAGCAGTCACTCGTCTCCACGGAGGACTCCACCGGGCGGAATGATTCGAGCAGCTCACTGGTAAAGCGCATGTCGGACCTTATGAATGATATTATTAAGAATTGACAGCCAGAAAGAAGAGGAGCCGGAGGGTTCCGGTCCCTCCCTTTTTTATATCATTGTGTCCTTGTATCCTTCGAGAATGCGAGCTAGAGATTGTGTGTGTGTGTGTGTGTGTGCGTGCGTGTTTGTGAGATTGCAATAGTGTGTAAGGGTGATGGTTGACAGTTTCCGGTTATCCTACGAGTATTTAAAATTGTACTTAACGTGGCACCACACTTTTACTTTGTATTATTTTCTATGATTTTGTTCAATAAACTTTTATCCTGTGCACACATATTAAACTCTTTTGAATACTCGTCAGGGATTTTCAGAGGGAAATGCTTAAGGCGCCGGGAAATTAATGTGGAAAGTCTCTGGGAAATTGCTTACATTTGCTGTTGTGGTTTAAATTACATAAAAGCTGTTATTGACATTTGATGAATGGTTATTTAGATGAACAAAAGTTGCAGTTGAAATTTTTAGATTGTTTTCGTTTAGTTTGAGTTTGTAATTTATGTTTTAGAACATTTATAAGTGGAGGTTTGGTTTCCAATAAATTTTGATACTTGGAAATCCATTTATCTTACTGGTAAAGTTTAAACAAAGGTATTTAAACTTATTTGCAAACCAAATTTATATTCATTTCTAGAGACAAATGTCTCTTTCAATTAACTTTTTGGACACTTTTTATAGATTAATATTTTAAAGCCAAACACCTCATGAAATAAGTTTCATTTGTTTAAGCTTTTATATAATTTTTTTTTTTAAATTTACAACATTTTCAAATCTGACAAATTAAAACAAATAAAATTAAGCTAAACACTATAGTATTTAAGCCATACATTAGGTAACTTTGATAAATACTTTACAGAATTAGGGTTAAATATTACCCTACCCAAAACTATGAAATTAAGTTTTTAGCAAATTACTAACATTAACGACAGTCTCCTCGGGGACATAGATGGGGACACCCCATCTCAAACCATGCATTCAGCGCCACTTCATATTGCTAATTAATTCTACTTAATTCTCAGAATATTCCTGGACGCCACCAGCGCACACACTCGTCGGGCAGCCGGAACGGACTCACTGGACTCCGGATTCCGCACACCTTCATGGTTCACACCTACGGCATCCCCACGGTGTGCCAGTTGTGCAAGAAACTCCTAAAGGGCCTCTTCAAGCAGGGACTCCAGTGCCGGGACTGCCAGTACAACACGCACAAAAAGTGCATGGACAAGGTGCCACATGACTGCACGGGTGAGGCGCAGCTTAGTCAGCTGCAGATCCAAGCGGGAGCCAAGGAGCGGGACAACTTCTTCCGCGAGGAGTTCGACGACAGTGACTGTGACGAGGGCCCAGGATCGGGTACAGACTACGGAAAGTACAAAACTTCGGGTGGAGTTAATTTGGTGGCCGGAAGACCCCGGGAAGCACCCAAGGCCCTGACCAATGCCCAGAACTCACCGCCGGAGCTAGTGAATGGAGCGCTGGGAGACGACTCAAGCGGTGGCGGTGATACCAGCAAGTCGAGTGACGGTCAGTCGGAGCAATCGCAGTCCTCGACCTCCTCATCGCCCAGTGCCAACATCCCGCTGATGAGAATCGTCCAGTCCGTCAAGCACACCAAAAAGCGCGGTGGTCAGGCCCTAAAGGAGGGCTGGCTGGTGCACTTTACCTCGCTGGACAAGGCCGTAAAGCGCTACTACTGGCGACTGGACTCCAAGACCATAACGCTCTTTGTCTCGGAACAGGGCAGCAAGTACCACAAGGAGCTGCCGCTGGCGGAGCTCCTGGCCATCGAAAGTCATCGGGGTGATCCTAGACCCGAATCCAACTACTGTTTCGAGCTGCGCCTGCCCAACCTTAGCTATTTCGTGGGCCAGGATCCCCAGGTAGGGGCCAAGGAGGAACAGGCCGTACGATTGCCTCCGCCGGATAGTGGCATTGGAAGTGACATTGCCAAGAGCTGGGAGACGAGCATCCGGCAGGCCTTTATGCACGTTAACAACACACGTGAGTAGGGTAATTGCGGACACTAATGGGGGTCATAGGGGATTCAAGGACAAAAACTAAAAAAAAACCTTTATCCTTTTCCAGAATGCTGCGAGTCGGAGGAGCAAGTACAGGACATGGGTCAGCTGTACCAAATCTTTCCAGACGAAGTGCTGGGCTCCGGCCAGTTTGGTGTGGTCTATGGCGGCGTGCACAAGAAGACGCAGCGGGAGGTGGCCATTAAGGTGATCGATAAGCTCCGCTTTCCCACCAAACAGGAAGCACAGCTGAAGAACGAGGTGGCCATCCTGCAGAACATTGCGCACTTTGGAGTTGTTAATTTGGAACGGATGTTCGAGACGCCGGAGCGGATATTCGTGGTGATGGAGAAGCTCAAGGGCGACATGCTGGAGATGATCCTGTCGCATTCTAGGGGTCGTCTGAGCGAACGGGTGACCAAGTTCCTCATCACCCAGATTCTGATTGCCCTCAAGTACCTGCATTCGCAAAATATAGTCCACTGCGATCTGAAGCCGGAGAATGTGTTGCTCTCCTCGGATGCCGAGTTCCCGCAGGTGAAGCTCTGCGATTTTGGTTATGCTCGCATTATTGGCGAGAAGTCCTTCCGTCGATCGGTGGTTGGCACTCCGGCATATCTTGCCCCCGAGGTGCTCCGGAACAAAGGCTACAATAGGTCTTTGGATATGTGGAGCGTGGGTGTCATTATCTATGTGAGCTTGAGCGGCACATTTCCCTTCAACGAAGAGGAGGACATCAATGACCAAATACAAAACGCAGCCTTTATGTATCCACCTAATCCGTGGAAGGAGATCTCCTCCAATGGTGAGTGGTGATGGAAATCTATAGTGAAAACTCTAAATAACCTTGCTCCTTTTCCCCAGCCATTGATCTGATCAACAACCTGCTGCAGGTGAAACAACGCAAGAGATACACGGTGGACAAGAGCTTGCAGCACTATTGGCTGCAGGACAAGCAGACCTACCGCGACCTCCGGAACCTGGAGACTCAGGTGGGTGGTGGACGTTACCTAACCCATGAGGCGGATGACATACGCTGGGACTGCACGGGTGACATGTGACCTGGCTGTGAATCCGGGCAGATAACCGAGAGCACCACCGAGATAATGGAGATGTCCGCGACCGTCAAAAGCAACACCAATACCACCATCACCACCGAGAGCTATCGTCCATCTCCGGCGGACTGCGCCGGCTGCCATAGGCTCTCGGATTGCGGAGATTCGCGCAAATCGGAGGCGATGAGCGACAAGGCCCTGAAATGGATGCGGTTCCATCTCTGCCGGCACATCAAATAGCAGTACAACCATAATGCCTAGCCCATAAGTTTATCCTATATTCTCTTTAACTTTCGCTTTTCGATAACTGCTAACAAATGGAATAATACTTCAATACTTACAACTCGGTGTGCTAAATTTTTCTCTAGAATCAAAATTAGTCGATAGCTTTAATTCGTTAACCACCTAAAGGCAACTCTTATGAATAACACTACACGGAAGATATATACACCACATAGGCCCAGATGTAACTGCGGTGGAGCTCAGATCCAGCTTAGAACCAATTGCCATAAGACACAGAAAGACATCCAACCACAAAAAAAAAAACGAATGGCAGAGAAAATATATATAGCTGAATAAACAATGCTTGACAATTAAGTGGTGCGTGCACTTTTTCAACTTCTTTACAGATGTGTTCAGGAAAATAGGTAATTGTAATCGTACTTGCTTACATTTGTAAGAACTCACAGAATATATGCTATCTTTTAAATCTCTGAGAGATAATTGAAGATTACTTAGAGTCTAGATGCAAACCTAGTGGCTCCTTCAGCTTCAATGGTCGTAAGAAGACCATTTAAAAAACACTTTTTAAAGAATCGAAATTTCCCAAGTTTTTTGCACTACTCTTGACTGTAGACTTTTTCCTTGTCATCCACATGGTTGTCTTAATCTCCTCCAGCGTCACTGCAGCACGTAAAAGCACTGGCCTGCAACGGGTGACACCCTTTGGGAAAAAGACTTTTTCCACACTTTTTCCTATTAGTTCTCGAGAAGCAATCCCCCAAAGAAGATGTTTCGTAGTGTCTTACAGTGTTTTCTTCTGTTAATTCTCTACGGGATCAGTCATCAGGGAGATGACTTCAGCATGCCCAGTGCCGCATGGCTAGAATATCAGCGAGAGCGATTTGGTGTCAATAATCCACAGATAATGATGAGTTCCACAAAGGCACCACTGAACCTTAATGTGGAGGTGGTGACCCCCAAAGTGGAGACCACATCCAGGAGACACTCGTCAAATGCGCCGGAAAATGTCAGTGGGGAATCAAGCGAGGAGGAGACCACCGAGCAGCCTTCAGAGGATGGTGATGGCATCGAGTTGCCCAGCATGCAAGGATTTCTCAAGTTCCTTAAGACCTTGCAGAAGACCTGGATTAATAAATCGGCCCTTAACTTTGGCAAGAAGATAAAGCTGCTGCAAAATTTACGTGACAATCTTATGCGACTAATTGGTGCGTTAAAATGGAAATTAATATATAATTTATTATTTATCGGATATCTAAGATTAAAAATGTGTTTTCTAAATGTATATATGTGTATATTATTCAAACAGAGCAACAATTTGCGGCACTTTGGCAGCCTCCGGAGCGGAAAAGGCGACGTCGCCGTGGATTGCTGGATGACTCGGATATAGACTTCCCACCCGAGGCGGCCATTATGACCATTAACTTTCTCACCTTTGCAGTTTTTCTCATCAAACTGGTCATGGTAGGTTGCCGACAAAACAACTTAAGAATAATAAATCTATTAATTATTTAACTTTCAAATTCCAGCAAGTGATAAAGATCGTGAAGAGCAAGCATTACACTTTGTCCGGATTCAGCCTTACTCCGGAAGTTGTCCAGCGAACATAAGAAATTTGCCTTAAAATGTATACAATTAATAAATAAATATAAAAATATTTGAAATATTTGAAATAAAATCAATTTAAAATTCAAATTTTTACCGCCTTGTGTCTTTGAAAAATTCTGGTAACTCTGCTTTATAGCAAAATCAGCTGTTTATGGCATTCAAAAGCTGTTTATAGCAATATATTATCGATAGTATTTATGATGAAATCAAACTTTTCCCATACCTATTGTCTTGTTTTACACGTGCAGTTTGTTTTTCATCAATTTTATACGTTTTTAAAGTAATAAAATGAATGATGATGATGATGGAACACTTATTGAGACTGTCTGCGACCATAAGGAAGACGAGCAGCTGCCCACAATAGGTGAGCGATGAAAAGACTTGAAGTACACATAAAAAATCAAAAATCTTGCCTTTTGCAGTGCATTTTCAGAATGGATCACTTGGAGGCACGGCTGAATTCTGCACTCTGATGAGCAAGACGGACCGGAAGAAGCAAGTCGTCGTTACGGCCGGCGAACAGGTATACACAGGTGATGTGCAGGATAACCAGGAGTTCGAAACCTACATCTGCATACGCAACAAGTCCACCGACACAATGAAGATTGTCCCCGTACAGCAGTCGTTAGTCTCCAACTACATTTACCAGCGTCTGGATGGTCAGAAGCGCAAGATTCCCATGTTGAGCCGAGAGCTCGCCAACAAGAAGCTGCTCAAGGAATTCGGCGGACGAAAGGCATCCCGGTTCGTGGACAATCACGAGAAGATGCTGGTCAATGTGGATGTTGTGCGCCAGGACTTAGATGAAACGGTGAAGTCGTCGGTCCAGCAAGAGGATGAGGACGACGACACACTGGCGGATGTGAGCACAAGCAACGAAGCGTACCTCGCCTCCATTGTTCCAAAGTGCAACAAGGAGGCCACCGATTTGGACCAGGTGTACGATGTCGAAGATGTCATTCCCAGCGTCCTGCTCGAACGCCTGGATGAAGAAGCCAAAGTGGTGTTCGCCACGCCCGCTTCGACACTTCCGTGAGTATATAGTTACACAAAACCGCGTTTCTAGTTAACCATTTGCCATTTTCCCTTCAGTATCAAGTCGGAATACCTAAAGAATTGCATAACCCGGATCCAGGAGAAAAGTTTAACCTCCAAGCAGGACATGCTGCACATCAAGATAATCATATACTTGGACGCATTGCAGTCACTGATTTCCCTGCGTTCCCGACAAATGCAGAAGGTGGAACTTTCGCGAATTACGGAGAAGATTGAGAATGATATCCGTCATCGTTTTGAGGATCCCAATGTGGCCAAGCGAGGCACTCGCACCAATTTCAGCACAGAGAAGGCATTAACGCACTTTATTGTCCTGGCTTTGCTTATCAGCGAGAAGCACGAAGTGGATATCAATGTTCTTTCCCGCCTGCTGGCCACCAGCAAGGAACGAATCAAGCAGTACGCCCATCTCGTCAACGCCCTGCCCAAATCCCGCTCAGATACGCTAAGCCTGCGCCTGCCCAGCAAGGTGCCACCACTGAAAGCGGGTCGCCGGTTCCAACGCAAGAAGTAGGAGTCCGTGTGCGCGCACCAAGGACACCCCGCCCCTTCATCGATTTAACAAACCCGGGCACACGGGTCAATAAAGTTTATTTTAGTAATATTCCAAATGATGAGTGTTGTAAATAGAATGTATTTTAAGGGTAATTCATTTTCATTTAAATTACTTTATTTAGGCTTTTTTAAATTGAAAATCAAGAGTAACATTAGGCGCTTAATTCCTTGGGATACAACATGTCTTCATGAATCATGGTTAATTTCGTCTTCGCAGCAGGCTAGCCGACAGAAAAGTGCTTGTGTTCCGACGGCAATCTTGTTAATCCCTCCCCCTTATTAGTTAGTATCGATTGTTGACTTCCTCTCTCTTTCTTTTTCTCCTGGTTGATCTTCTGGTCCTTAGCTGGCCTCTAGACGGCTAGCCCGAAGACGGAGACAATGCAGTACATGGTCTTGTTCTCCCAACGCACTGTACAGGATCCGTCGGTGTCGTTATTCCAATAGCAGGAGCTGGCTGTGTGCAGACCAGCACCGTTCTTCTGCATGATCATGGCAGTCACTATGTACTTGTAGGGCTTCTGCTCCTTGGTCAGCACAGTGAGGCAGTTCTCCACCACCTGGCCGGTCCAGTTGTTTACCTTGTCGTGCTGGTAGGCATTGCCGCCAATGGTGCTCTCAATGGCCTCCTTAATTGTCTTGCTAACATCGTCCACGATGAACTGGCTTTCTTCGCGTGAGTCATCCATTTTCGCACTTCCCTTGGATCTTCTACCTCTAAAAGCAGCTGTGTTCAAGTTAATGAGCACCTTTTGGTGATGTCCTTGTGTTTTACCGCGTTTTTGCTTCTGGCGGCGGCGTTTGCTTTTTAAAATAAAATATGTCGACGACGGAGATTTTTGTTGTTGACTATTGGGGAGGGATGAGCAAAGCGAAGCCTGCTTCGATTTTATAGTTTTTGCCTATTTGGATGATTGGGCACACTGGGTAAAAATATCGGCAAAAATCGTTTTTCCTGTTAAACAAATGGTTCATAAGTTACAAATATTTAAAATTAGATAAATTATATAAAAAAAAACATATTTCAATGTATATCGGTAAAAAATGTAGCAGATGGTTCGTTCCCCAATCCCCCAATTTATCGGCGATATTTTTAGTAACTCAGTCGTTGGGGTACCGCCGGAATGTATTATTAATTAAAAAAAGTTTAATTATTTATTTAATTATTTAACCCTCTACCGCGTACATACATATGACTTTTCATTTTCAATAACATATTAATATATATATATATTTTTATTTTATTATTATTTTTTTTTATAAACGGCACATACGCTTAACCGTTTAATACTATTTAATTTCCTTGTACACTTTTCAAATTTAAGTTTAGGAAGTTTTTTTATTGTCTTATCTCAAGTTTTGAAAATTTTGGGCCAAGCTGCTTAATCAGAACGAAAGAGAATTTTGCTGAATTTAAAATTCAATTTTTTTACTTAGAACCCCTGTTTTAACTAAAAATTACTTTAATTATAAAATAATATAAAGTATTCTTAACAAAAAATAACTTAACTTTAGATAAGCATAACAAGGAATATTTTATGAAAACTTTCGGAGACAATTATTTTTTTCCGCCAAACTACTATAAATTATTTTTACCTTAATAAATTGATAACTAAAACAAAAAACAATATGTTTCTTAATTATTTGTATTTCATGCATTAGGGAGTAAATTTAATTCCATCGAAATTTAAGTAACCAAGTTCCATCTCCAAGCGATACTCTGGGTATCGATGGGCGCATCGAAGAAAAGACTAGCCAAAACTGGCAATAAATCTGTTGTTGCCAACTTTTATCGAATGTCAATATCGATAGTATCGATGGGGCTCCGATATTTTGCCAGCACCAACAACGACAACTCACCAAAAAAATTGCTGCTGTGATTTCGTTTTAAAATTTTGGTTTAACTTTTTAGATTTTTGTTTGCAAGTGTAGTATAAAAACAAATAAGAAACTATAATAACATAAATAATTATCTAATCAAGTGCGGCAGCACACGAGCAAAAACAAAAACGGCACGCCAAGCAAAAACAAGTTCGAGTTGTTGTAGTTGGTTTTCCAGCCACCGTTCGTCGAGATTGTGTGAAAAATTCCGTAGCACTCGATTGCTCCAAAATGGTTGATAAGTTTATAAGCATGTGGAAAGTGCGCGAATTGGCGGACAAGGTGTAAGTAGCCAGGAATGAGTGTAGATAGCTTCTCGTCTGTATGTACCACTGGATCCCGTCAAATCAAGTGAATTTGTTGTCCCACGCCCCGAAATTCTACAGTTTCCCGCCACGCCCCCCTCCTCCGCACAGGTGTTAATAGTTGGTTTCCGTGCCGCAGTCCCAGATTATTCACGGAGCGGATTCATTAGTTCGGATCCGCTGCATTCGGTTGCTGGATTATGGTCGCTTTTGTTGCTGCTTTCAAGGTTGTTCGCAGCTCTGAACGAGCTTACTCACACAGCCGCATTCCGATACCCCGATACCCATATCCGAGCGCAGGGGTGTGAGTAGTGGTGGTGTGAGCGTGAGCGGGGGTTTATCAAGAAACAATTTGTTTGCTTTCGGCTGCGGCTGCGGCTGCCCAAATATAACAAAATGTTCCACCTGTGTTAACACTTCCAGCCACATCGACTGGCTTTCCAGTGAAATTGCTGTTTCTGTTTTGTTATTAATTACGGGAGCCCCTTTCACCGCCAGCCCCTTTTATGGTTGGCTAGAGTTTGGCCGAACTCTGCCTAATCAGGCGCACAGTTCTCGTATTTCCAAGCGAAATGGCTAGTTATCGGTTGAAGTGGAGTTCCAGGTTGCTCTACAGGGCAGACAGAACACTTTTCCTGGGTCTTATCTGTCCCTGATAAGAGAAACTGGCCCAGTTGCGACAATTGGCACTTGCTGCCGCTCTCCCGTCACCATCACGTTTCGAATGCCTATCAAGACAGCCAAGACTGTTCGCTTTTTATTTATTTATCTCTATCTGAGCATTGTAATTCCCACATCGTTTATTTAAAGATACTACCTTAGAATAACAGGGAAAATCGCTTGGTATCAGCTTTATAAACGAAATCAATAAATAAATCATAGGCCTTATCTAACTTTTATAGATGGAAATAGGGGAGTTACGTAGAAGGGAAAATAAATAAACTATAGTATTACGGTGTAAATGTGTTTTTTACACATTAAAAGCTCAAACTTTATGCCCTTACTTTGGCCATTAGATTTTTAAATCTATTTAGCTTATTTGTTCGATACTCAGCTTATTTGTATTGTTCTTATTTAACTATTAAACTTAGTTTAACCCCGATCCCATCTGACTTACAGCACCAATGTCGTGATGAACTACACGGAGGCGGAGGGCAAGGTGCGGGAGGCCACTAACGATGATCCCTGGGGCCCCACTGGACCACTGATGCAGGAGCTGGCCTACGCGACCTTTTCATACGAGACATTCCCTGAGGTGATGTCTATGCTGTGGAAGCGCATGCTGCAGGACAACAAAACCAACTGGCGCCGCACCTACAAGGTGACATTTGAACCCCTAAACAAATGCTTCAGATCATCATACCATTTATTTAATTACAGAGCCTTCTCTTGCTCAACTATTTGGTGCGGAATGGCTCCGAGCGGGTGGTAACATCCTCGAGGGAGCACATCTACGATCTGCGCTCGCTGGAGAACTACACGTTCACCGACGAGGGCGGCAAGGATCAGGGTATTAACGTTAGGCATAAGGTACGAGAGCTTATAGACTTCATTCAGGACGACGATCGGTTGCGCGAGGAGCGCAAGAAGGCGAAGAAGAACAAGGACAAGTACATTGGCATGAGCAGCGATGCGATGGGCATGCGAAGCGGTGGCTACAGCGGCTACAGTGGAGGCGGTGGAGGTGGTGGCAGTGGAGGCTACAACGATGGCGGCGACTATCGGTCCAGTCGTGGAGACAATTGGTGTACGTGAAAGCAACAGTTCATGTATTTGTGTCCGAATCTAAGCTTTCACTTCGATTTTTAATGCAGACTCGGACAAGAACAATGACAAGGATCGGTACGAGGATGATGATACTCACTACGATGGAGAGCGCGAGGGATCCGACAGCGACTCACCCAGTCCAAGGCAAGTGTTCCGATAAAAAGGGCTAGGAAGCAGGGACATAATTTACGTAATCCCATCCTCCCAACAGACGTAACTACCGCTACAACGATCGAGCTAGTCCCGCCGAAGTGGCCAGCGAGGCAAAGCCCTCCAGCCTCAACATGAACATCCGATCGAAGACCGTCAGCTCGCCGGTGTCCAAGCAGCCAACGTCAACGGCTGCCACTAAGCCTGCGGCGTCGCAGAAGAAGATCGATCTTGGTGCGGCGGCAAGCTTTGGAAAGCCAGCGCCAGGCGGTGCTGCAGGCATCCACTCGCCAACGCACCGTGACACACCCACCAGCGTGGACCTAATGGGCGCTAGCTCGCCCTCCAACTCCAAGGCAAACAATAATACGCAAAGCAATAGCAATGATCTGCTGGACGATCTATTCAAAACCTGCTCACCGACGCCGACGCAGGAGAAGACCCTGAATAGCGCTGCAGTGATTGTTGATGACGACGACGACTTTAATCCGCGGGCTGGTGATAATGGCCAGCAGGAGTTCGGCGACTTTGCCTCGGCCTTCGGTGGCAACTCGGCAGGGCCGGTCAGCGAGCCACCTTCCACTGGCCTTATTCCGGCCACCAATGATGAGTTTGCCGACTTTGCTGCTTTCCAAGGGTCGACTACGACCACCTCTGCTCTGGATGGGAATCTGCTTAAAACGGCCACGCCGGCCAACGACTCGTTTGACCTGTTCAATGCTGGTACCACACCGACAGCGTCGGCTACCACGGCTACGGATCTCCTGGCAGGTCTGGGCGATCTGTCCATACACCAAAGCATGCCCATGGGTGAGTTTAAACTCGATTCGCGTAGACTAATAGTTTTAGCTTCGGTTTAGGCCTAAGATTAGCTATAGAGTAATTGTCTTGGCTTCAGTCACTTCATGATGTATTTAGGAACCGCTGCATGACGGCGTGCCTCCCGAGCTTGACTAGAGCCACTATCTCTACCTCGAGCTCCCCTCGCCCATACACAGTGAAACACTCTTTCACCCTCCCACACATAAACGGCAACATATTCCAATCGGATGCACACGTTCTCTTCTCGTTCTCTCTCGCAGCCGTCGAAGAGCAGGCATCCAGTTGCGATTTGGTGTCGCCTCCTCTTCCGCCGCCGCCGGAGTCGGTGCGTTCGGCCTTGGTGAAGGCGCAGAAGCAGCTGTGCGAATTGGAGAAAATCCAGAGTGCTTCATCTGCCAACCAGGTTGCTGTCATTCTTAGGGAGCTCTACCAGACGAATGCGCTGCCTGGCTTTACCACACCGGAACAGATGGTGGGCCTCGATCGGCAGTCGTGCGACTGGAGTTCGCTGGCTAACGGAGAATACGCCTCGTTGCTGAACCAAGTCGTCGAGCTTTTCAGTCAGGATTGGCCTGAACCATCGAGGGATGTGGACCTCATGAATCTCTTTAAGCTAGATCATAGCTTTGACTATGCTCTAGTCGCCTTTGAGACACTGCAGACAGGATTGGATCAGTTTCCAGGCACCGTTGCCTCATTGCTGGAGAATTTGCTGAAGGACGACTCCCTGGTTCCTATTACCTTGCTGCACATCTCCCGTCAAAGGGGCTCCTTAATGCAGCGATATGCAAGGACCATCAAAGTAATGCCAGAGAGACGACTCGAGGAGTTGGATGCCCAGGTGAAAGCGTTCTTTCAACTGCTTGTCGGTCTGCCCGCCTATGTGGCTAACCGCCTGGGTCGCCAGATGCCGCAGACCTTTTCTCCTATTCCCTATCAGCAGCTTCTGCTGCGTCAGTGGCTAAAATCCGTGCACTTCCTGCTGCAATGCGAGGATGACGAGAAATTCTTTGATTTAGAACCACACTCTTGGATATTGTCACAGCTTATAAACCTACAATACGATGTCTCAACTCTGGAGGGTTTCCTACGAGTGCTAAAGGATTATGCTGTGCCGCCGAGAGGAAGAAAGGTGGTGCAGGCCGTAATGATGCACCTGGATCCGGGTGCTTGCATAAAGGTCGCCCAATCGGCACTCTCGGCCGAACTGAATCTCTACGTGCTGCTGGGACCATCGGCGCTGGAGGCCCCTCACTGGAAGCACTGCCTGCTGCAAAAGTTACCCCTACAACGGACGCCCGTGGAAAACAAGCAGATTAAAACACTGACGAATTACCTTAATGTGTCTGCGTCTGGTCAACTGCAAGTGCTCTTCAATCAGTTACTGGGCATATGGTCCAAGCGCATTTCGCTGCATAAACTGAGCAGCCAGGAACACTTGGCCATATCCAAGTTCATTGTGTTGGCAGGAAAGTGTCTCTTTCGAGGTCTGGAAGTTGAATTAGACAGCAAGCGGCAGTTGCACGACGGACTTAGTAACCATTTGCAGTCCCCAGACTCGTTGCAGCGTTATGTGGGAATGAAAACAGTGGAACTGCTCTTTAACTTTATGGCTTCGCCGGAAACAAAAGAGGAGGATCGACTTCGATTTGATTACGACACCATGAAGGGGACACCACAATGGCACATCTTTGAGGAGTTGGACGAACTGGCGATGTTTGAATGCCCCAGCAAGACCCTTCTGGACGAGAAGACCGATGAAGACTACCCGAAGCTATTGGAATCACATCTTAAAGAATTTATGGGCAGCTATGAGGAAATGCAGCAGCAGACTCACCCTAAGAGTGATACCACTAAGAAGCCTGCCGCCAGGACGGAAATTCAGAATATGCAACTGGACTCGGACGATGACGAGCCACTGGATGAAGATGACGACGATCTAAAGCCTTATGACATGTCTAACGACATAACCAGTACCCTTGAGCAGCGTCCAAAGTTCTTGCTGGACTTGCTACATCTCCTTCGCACCAAAGTGGATAACTATCAGGTGTTTGAGGGCGCTCTGGGCACCGCAGAGTCTCTTATTCGTGGTCAGCTCTCCAGGCACGATGCACAGCTGGCGCTGGATCTGCTGCAACTGTTCCTCACGTTGGACATGCAGTACTACTTTGAGAACTTCGAACGGACGCAGTATCAGTGTTGTGTTGCCATTTGTGTTGCCCATCCTGGTCCATGCGCCGAGTACTTGTGCCGTCAGTTTCACACAGATAACTCCACCTATGCGGCCAATGTGCGTATCCTAATCCTTCAGGTACTGGCAGCGGCGGCCAAAGAACTTTCAGGAGACGAGGTGCAGCCAGATGAGGCTGCAAGCCTAGACATTGTGCCACCTGCAGCCAAACAGCCGCGAAAGTTTGAGCTCCAGAACGAGGAAGAGAGTCCAGCAGCGCGTTTGGCGGCTGCTCAGAGGATAATCCGTGAACGCCTTCGAGCAAAAACCAAGCGATACTTTAGCAAGCCAAAGACAGGGGATCGAGTGGAAAGAGCCAATCCCTTCCATCCGGTAGCCGGCACCTTCTTCTTCAGCCTGGTGAGGGGCCAGCGGACACGGCAAATGCTGTTCGTGAAGTATGAGGATATAGCCCACGACATAGACACCCAGCTGCTGGTGAATCTGCTGCATACTCTGTCCGTGCTAGTCATGTGCTCCCAGAACTGTCCCCTTTTGCCGGCCATGACCCGCGAGATCTTCGACCTGTGCGCCTTTGTGCGTTTCAACGCTGAAGCACGCGTGCGTGCAGCCACTCTGCAGCTGATTGGTATCGCCCTGGTCACCACCCCTGGCCACGTACTTGCCCAACACTTTGCCGAGTCTCTAAACGAGCTGCAGCGATGGCTGGAGGACTTTGTGCGTTCGCCCCTTGTAGGCGGGGAGACATCAGAAGAGTGCCGAGATCTGGCACAAAGCATCCTGGATACCTGCTACCAGCTCTTCGATACAGCCGCCATGCAACAGGCTGCCTAGCTATAGCTCATGAGGAACACAGTGGATCTATTCATAAAAATACAGCTGAAGTGTTTTTAGGAGACATGCTAACATTTCGAATATTTCAAGTTTAAAACTACATATTTCGAAACCTTTATTTTTGTTGATTTCGCTGAAGAAATCTTGAAACCTAACCTTACGTTTATATCCAAATATTAAACAACAATACACACATACATATGCATTGAAACCCGTGTCCTTAAACATTTTCCCAGTATTTTTACAATTTACATTATTTAATAATGATAAATAGCCATAAGTTTAAACCGACACAGGCCATTGTATTCCAGGTATATACGGATTTATATCATTTAAACTACTTTCTTTTGTTTATTTGTTTTTCTCCCACTGCATTTTTGTATTGCAACCCAAACAAAACACACACATCGGATCTAATTTAATTTCCCAAATATATACATATGTACTTAAAATGGTGAATTAAAAAGCATTTCTCAATATTCCGGGCATTGCGCCACCGGCGCGGACTCATTAGGTAAACGAAAAGCAACCCAATTTAGCAGCAATAAGCGCCCTAGCCATAGCAATAGCTCAATATCTGTATACGAAACTATTCTTTGACTATGTAATTGCACTTGTCTACTTAATTTGCCGCGCAAACGCTTCCGAGTAGTGACCACCATCTCATTAGACGATCACCAAGTAGACGCATTCGCAACTCTATCGAAGTCACCCATCTAAAGCCAGCTTCTTTATACACCAAATGAATCCTATGCCTAAAGCCAATCATAACGATTTTGCTGCTCTTGTTTTTTCAGACAATATGCTGCCTCCCATCGCCGCCGTCACGGGCAATGATCTTCTCCAGCCGATGTCTGTTACCAACAACAACAATAATAATATTAATAATAATACCAATGGAGCTGTTACCCCCGCCGCGCCTATCAATGTGGGCGCCACCTGGTCGGGTAATCTGAAGGCCGGCAACCTGAACATCGACCTGGACAACCTGTTGATGAGCAAGACTGGCAAGACGAGTGCACCAGCTCTTTCAATGAACAGCATGAAGACGCAGAGCCCGGCGAAGTCAGGCCAGGCGCCGCTTAATGTGCAGACCGGCGGTGGCGGATTCCCAGGGCTGTCGCCGATGACCAGTCCAAATCTGTTCGGAGCACAGGCCCCTCAGCAAAGCATTCCACAAAACCAATCAGCATTTGCCAACTTTGGAGCGTTCCAGCAGCAGCAGCAGCATCAGAACCACAGCAATAATAACAATAATAGCTCGTCGGCATTCGACTTGTTTCAATGATATTGTTTAGCTTAATTTTCCGCTACCCCTATCCCCACCTCTCCCTCGCCCTGAACTACTTTTCCAATTTCCACTCACACACATTTCACATTTCCACGTTCGCTGAACTTGTCAGTTTTATTATTTAGCCTTACCCCTGTGCTGTATAAAGTTTGCGAAGCGTGCAATTTGTTGCTAAATTAATTGTTAAACAATCGCAGTTCTCCTGTTTCTCCCACCCCCGATGCAGTCCTTGGATCACACCCATGCATGAACTCCACATCCGTCCTGATTGTCCACTCAGAGTTTGAATGTCGTCATCAAATGCAATACAGTGAGTGTAATAGTTGAATAAATGGTTGTACTGAACGGATTTGTTAGCACAACACATGGACGGACGGCTGAGCGATCCATCATTGAAATTGTTAAACAAAAATAAATACTACAAATAAAAAAAAATCAAACAATTTTAGCAATAGTTAAAGTTACGATGTGTCTGTATATAAAAAATGTATGTAAAAGAAATATGAAATATAAAAGAAATTAAAAACTATAATTTAAGCTCGACTTATAATTCGTATATATTAAAAAAAACCAAGATTTAGTATAAATCTGGTGATATTAGATTGGGTAGTTTTTCAAATATCATATCTAAGCCAAAAATGCATGTATTTTAATTCGGATAGCTTTTCTGTGCTACTTTTTTTAGGGAAAACAAATATGGATATTGTGTGTTAAAACGATTTCCCTTTAGTTTTCGCTGAAATACTCTCAGATCAACTTACTTTCAAATCGTTTTCAATAAAGTAACCAAAAGCGCTGATAGGCTTCAGGATATAGACAAAATTCTTGGAAAACGTACCCTAAGTAATATGGTTTATTGAATTTTGAATGGGATCCGTTGGGGTCAAGGAGAATACAAAAGAAGTGTGTAAAGTAAAACGTTATTTTGGACTTAAGACTAAGCTGAATGTGGGTGGGACAATTACGCCTCCACGGCCTCCTTGTTCTTGTTCTTCTTTTTCTTCTTCTTTTTTGGCTCTCCATCAACGTCCCCGTTGCCATTATTTGCCTCAGCGTCGGCTCCATTTCCATTGCTGGCACCATTCGCCTCCGCCTCATCCTCAGCCGCGCGCTTCTTCTTCTTCTTCTTTTTCTCGGACTGAGCAGTGGCTGCAGTCTCCTGACCGGCTGCCTCGATGGCCTCCTTCATGACCTCGATGTTCTTTCGGGGCACATCGCCAGACTCGTAGAACTTGAGTCGATCCTCGACTTGCTGCTTCAGCGTTTCGCCAAAAACGCTGGTGGGCTGCTCCAGGAAGCAATCAATACGCGAGGCAATGGAACACTTGTTGGCTAGGAACCGAGAGATACGACCCTTGTTCTTCAGGCCAGCACGACCGATGAACGAAGAGTGGTAGATCAAACCATACTTGGGCGTATTGGAGCGGGTCTTCAGAGCGCGGAAGAGCGCCTTCTCAGCGCCCAGGATCTGTACCGTCGATGCCGGGTACTTGGCCAGATTGGTCAAACTGCCAGCGTGCGAAATCAAGCGAGCGCCGACCTGGTCGCCAATCAAAGACTGCAAATTGGGCGCCACCAGGTTCATCTTGTTGTGCAAGTATGTGGACAACTTCTTTCGGTACTCGGAGAGCTTTACAACGCGCTCGGCAAAGAGCTCAATGTTCATCAGATCCACGATAGAGATGTCCATGCCCATGGACATCTTGGCGGCATCGATGATAGCCTGCGCCTTGGCCGAGTCCATCACGATCTTCTCAAGGTCCTCGAGCTGATCTTGCGTCAGGTTCTTGCGATCCTTGATAAACTTGGCAGACTTGGCGAACATGTAGTTGTCGGGAACGATTTTGACCAGTTCTGGGAAGTGGTACGAGTACCACTCGCGTATACGCATGGAGAAAGTATTCACATCCTTGTCCAGCTGATCCAGCAGAGCAATCGACTGGATGATCATGTTGTCCGAACGATGAACGTTGAACTTGACCTTGGCACGTGAATAGCTGTGGCCCAAACCCAGCTGAGCAACGCCCGCCGACTTGTCAGTGAATCCTGCGGGAGAAGGGAATTCTGGTTAGATAAAGTAATTTACCAAGAGCTGACATAAACTTACCCTTGACCAGCTTGGCGAAATGGAATCGCACGCCGCGAAGAATCTCGGGAACAACTCCAAAGTGACTGCATTGCACGCCAATTGCCTCGGTGATGGCTGCTCCCAACTTGGCATCAGCAATGCCCAGGGTGCACTTCTTCTTCTTCAGCTTGGCAAAGAAATCATCGAGGAAGGTGAGCAGATCCTGCGGCACAATTCCCTCGGAAATGGCATTGATGTTCTCCAACGCGGCGATTGCCGTCTTAAAGGGAGCAAATCCAGCCAGCTTCACAATGGAGTTAAACTTGGCAATATCCGTCACCGAGGACTCCACCTGGGGCAGGAACATGGACACCTCCTCGAACTCCTTGACGGAGAAGAGCGAGAAGCCCGCCGCATGCTCGTACAGCACATACAGATTCGACTGGAGGAGGGGAAAACAAGAGATTATTAGTTTGGTGCGGTGGCAAACACATGTGCTTCTGGGTGCTCCCTTTTAGGGCCTCCAGTTTAGGTTAGTTTTCCTCAAGCAAACATTCAAATTTTAAGAGGTTTCTATTGCACACCAATGTTAGCTCTCTTCCGAACTAATATTTACCATATTTATGCCGAATATATGCCGTTTTTATATAAAATTATATATTTGTCCACAGAAAATGCCTCCACAGTTGTTTTTCCCACGTGCTACGGTAGTGTGACCAGAGCATGCCAGGACAGGTACACCATCAGCGTACTACGAAAAAAATACCGATGTGACGGAATCACAGCAGTTTCAACAGGCTGGCCACGTTGATAGCCCGATAACCTGTCGTGTTGTCCCGTTCGCACCTCCATCAACTGTCTCTGTGTGTGAAAGCAATTTTATTTTTATTTATAACAATTTTTTGCGTTTATAAACACAACAGAAATCAGAAGTTTCACTGCATAATTCCCGAAATCGCTCACATTAGCTGTTGCGGTACCGCGGCGACACGGTAACTCTCCGAAGCTCCCGCTGAAGAAACTCTAGTTCCATTCTCTCTGGGCCCCAAAAAGAAACCTGCTGCAAATTCCAGCGATTTTGTTGATTATTATTCGGCAGTAATCGCTGGGAACAACAGCAAAACTAGCTGGCTGACGAGTAGCAGGACAGCAGGAAAAACAGAGTGGCATTCTCTGGAAAAGGGCTTGCAGCGGAAAATCCAATTTGTAGCAGGTGAAAGGCAGAGCACGAGAACTGCATGCCATGGACTTTTTGTTGTAAGTTAATCAGAAAAAAAGGCAACAAAAAAACACGGATGATATCGCCATCTGCAGTCCTGTGTGCAGCACAAAGAAAGCTTGGGGCACCCCGCCCCCTAGCTTGCTTTGTTCGCCACAAGCTCTGCGGTGGGGCAATTTCCCCACCTCCTACATTTCTCGGAGGGTTGTTGGGGCTACGACTAATCGCCTTTCCCTCTGCGCAGCGGTTCCCGTTCCAGTAAGACCTTCAAGCCGAAGAAGAACATTCCGGAGGGCACCCATCAGTATGATCTCATGAAGCATGCGGCCGCCACGCTGGGATCGGGCAATCTGCGTAACGCCGTGGCTCTGCCGGATGGCGAGGATCTGAACGAGTGGGTGGCCGTCAACAGTGAGTGAATATTAATTGACGATAGCCACTAGTTAATGCCAATCGTTAATCACCTTTATACAGCCGTGGACTTCTTCAACCAAATCAACATGCTCTATGGTACCATTACGGAGTTCTGCACGGAGGAGACCTGTGGCATCATGTCGGCTGGCCCGAAATACGAGTACCACTGGGCCGACGGCTTGACCGTAAAGAAGCCCATCAAGTGCAGCGCCCCAAAGTACATTGACTATCTTATGACCTGGGTGCAGGACCAGCTGGACGACGAAACTCTATTTCCGTCTAAAATCGGTGTGCCGTTTCCAAAGAACTTTCACTCCTCCGCCAAGACCATACTGAAGCGTCTGTTCCGAGTGTACGCGCACATCTACCACCAGCACTTCACCGAGGTGGTGACGCTGGGCGAGGAGGCCCACCTGAACACGTCCTTCAAGCACTTCATCTTCTTCGTGCAGGAGTTTAACCTGATCGAACGGCGCGAGCTGGCCCCGCTCCAGGAACTGATCGATAAGCTGACGGCGAAGGATGAGCGGCAGATATAGGAATCACTGCAGGGTGCCGCCGATTCCGGCGGCGGTGGCAGCGGTCGCTGTGCGGTTGGCGTTGGCCTGCAGTTAGACTTGTGATGGGAGCGCTCTGGCAGACTTGTGTATTACGCTTTAGTTAGTTACCGCCTTTCCTTTCTTTTCCTCGTTTATAGCTTTTAAGTTTTGTTCAGTGCTTCGCGGGCTCCCACTAAAATCGCGGCCGATCGGAGAAGAGAGCCGAACTATGGCTGGCGGCTGGCTAATTGCCGATCCAGAGCAACTACTATATTTTTATATGTGAATCGTAACTTTAAGAGATATATAAATCATATTTATATGTATTTGTAAGGGAGAAAACTGAAAGCATCGGCAGCAGCACGCCCTCTATTACTAACACACACACCCCCAGCTAACGAGAATCCACAAAATTACGTTCACAAAACTAAGCGTGTTTCCTTGTTTATCGTTTTTTTCTGTATGTATGTATGTATTTATTACTATTAAACTATCGCTATGTAGCTCGGCGCCCTGCAGCGGATTAACGATTTTGTAATTCAAAAACCCCCGGCAATGTGAGGCGACGGTCGACCAGCACCCAATAACTGATAATAATTGTAGACTTGATAAACATTTTTGATACGTTTTATACTAATAAAGAGAATATTATGAATACAACCGCAGAGAATTGGTTTATCGTGCATTGACACTATTTATTGAGAAACAAATAATATAAGCAAAAAAAAAAATAAAATAATGATTTAGATTAATATGATAAAAATACCTCTTTTGAAAAGGTATAAAGTGACGCAATACATTTATTGTTTTGTGGGGGTTTAGGCTCTACTTAGAGTAACCTTCCTTAATGCTTTACAGCCGATGCGCTTGTGTGCATATGCGCATTGAAAATGTGTTCAACTAATCTATCGGGCGTTCAGGCATTTGGCTAATCGCCGCCTTATCACCGTCGCCACACTAACCCCAAATCACTTGAGCTTGCTTTTGTATTTGTCTTGCTCCACATAGAAATCAGCATTTTCCTCCAGCAACTGTTTCCATTTCAGGGCGAGTTCCCTGTAGCCGAGACCCTGGCCACCCAGTTCCTTGGGCAATTGATCACAGATCACGGAGGTTCCTTCTTTGCGAACAAACAAACGGGATCGTATCTTGGGCGTCATAAAAATCCGGAACGTGTTCAGAAAGATGTTCACATGGCGCGGGGCGTTAGTGAACTCCAGCAGCTTTGGTTGACACGGATACGCTGTCCAGCTTTCAACGGATCGCTTGATAAGCTTCGGATTTAGCTGCAAGGCATGACCCAGTTGGACGCCCTGCATATCCAGAATGGCCACCATGCCTCGGGCACAAGCCTCCGGCTCGAGCTTCAACAGCAGGTCCAATATCATTTTGCTGGTCTGGGGAACAAAGGTCAGATATAAGTGTATATCTATAGCTGGTGAACGTTCCCTGACTCACCTTGAAGACGTTGTTTTGGTTATGCTTCTTGGGATCGTGGGCCGCCGTCCGGATGACCACCACCATTCGCTGTTCCGCATCTGAGCCAATTGGCAAAAAAACGCCAAGGTCGAGGAGTTCCTGGATCTCAGGCAGCTTGGGATCTCGATTCTCGAACCATTCCGTTCGCTCTGCTCGCATCTGGTAGAAGGTCCTTAGCTTCTTCTTGGTTCGCTCCACGTCGAACTTGGAGGTGCGCAGGAAGAAGTGGAGGTTCTCAAATGAGTTGCATCCGTTCACCTGGGGATTGGCCAAAAGCCAATCGCTCAGTTCCTGCACCTGCCTCAACACCTTATCTGGATCGTCGACGCTGGCGGCCACTTGGCGCCTGGAACTGCTGCTGCGCGACCACATGGTGTTCCTTCGGTGGCGATGGCTGGTAGCCTACTAAACTATTGTTTATAAACAAAATTTGCGACATTCACTCGTTTCAAAGGGAATCGAAGAATTGAAATGAAAGCTTATGAAGCTTTCACGCCAGCCGCACACTGCGTTTCCCGATTCTAATCGCTCCGTCAGCATTTCACACTGGTGATTGCTAAAAATACAATGTCGCTTATCCATTACAAGCTTAATTGTTGCGTTGCGCGCAATTGGATTAATTAAATTCAAATTGATTGGATAGAAGAGCTGACTTCGTGGTTTTGTATTAAGCGTTCACCGATATCGATAGACATTAGTGATGGCAACCGCTGGCGACAATTAACAGTTTCTGTTAACTAGCTGTTACGATTTTAAATCGTAAAAGTTAATCATAAAATATTTAATTAAACATTTACAAATATCCAACATTTGTTTCTAAAAAAACGACTTTGTTTTTAAATAAATTATTATGTATCGATCATAGACATTTTCTGACCCCATCTTTCGAATTAATTTTTTCAAACCAATGCCGAGGTTATTAAGGAGTATTAAATCCTTAAATCTTTGTTGACTCTGCTTAAAAAAAATAATACTCTCGCTTTAATAGATCCCTAATAGATTACTGGGTATACCTTCTACAAAAATCAAATTAACCTAGTTTTGATATAGTAAGACTGACAGGTAAAAAATACAATTAGTTAATGACTTAACCTAAGAAGTAATTAGCTTTACTTGCATGAGGTATATAAGCCCAGCATATTTAGGAATTCTTTAGTTGAATTTCAGCATAGATATCATGATTCTTCGTTTGGTTTTGCTATTCTTGGCCCTGTTCTCAGTGGCATATTGCCGACCGGATGTAGGATCTTCTGATGTCCTTAAAGGTGTGTGAATAAATCCTCATAAATAGGACATTTTTCATTGACTAAGTATTTTTGTAGGTCCTTTTAATGTCTTGGGACGTCCTGTTGTACCCATAGAGCCAACGGATGAGCCGAAGAGCCGTACCTTGGTTATGCTTCTGCCGGCATTGTTTCCAAATGCTTTTTACTTTTCTTAAAAGGATTAATAAAGATTACTGATTTCGCTTAAATTAATATTTTTTACTGGGTATTATTATTATATTATTATGCATTTCAAGATAAACATCAAAACCACTTTTCTTTGTACTTTAAGATAAACTTTATTCACATAAAAAATAAATAATTATTACATTTCAACACTTTGCTCTGCCTCACCTTGAACTCCTCCTCCTCTCCGCCAGTCGATCATCCCACTCTCTCTCTTTTTTTCTTTATTTTCTTAGTTTTTAATGCTTATGTTTTAAAAATAAAATGAATATTTACAAAGATGTTGTGCGTAAAACTTAGATCCACTGGAAGAAGGGCTGTGGACGACTGACTCTCTGTCGGTCAGGTGTAAGAGGAAACAGTGGGTCTTGGAGGTTCGTATTTGTTGTGTGGGGATTTCGGACCATGGACTGGGCTATGGACTGTGCGTCGGGTGGTGATTGTGGTGCAGGTGGTGGTGCAAGTGCTCAAAAGGCCCCGTTGAAGTGCAGGTTTTGTGAGGAGAACTGCGGTATCCCGTGGTTGAGAGCTAAAACTTTACTGATTACTTTCAATTCGTCAAGATTTCTTAAGCTGCTAAATTGACTAAGGAGGTTGCCACTGGGGCTGCCCTGTCGGCTCTTGGAGGGTGCATTACCTGGACTGGTGTCGCCACCCGACGACTGTTGCTGCTGCTGCTGCTGCAACTGCTGTTGCAGATATTGCTGGGCGTTCTGCTGCAACTGGTTACTAAGCTGTGGCGTCAGGTGCTGCCTGTAAAAGTTCTGGTTCTCCAGACTGGGATTGGGATTAGATGCAGGCTGCTGGCTGACGATGGTTGTCGCAAAGGAGGTGCTCGGCTGGATCTCCACGTTGGCATTTAGGCCGAAGTTGCCCACTCCCGTCTCCTGGCGGAACTGGCGCGCCCGGTGTTGCTGCTGTTGTTGCTGCTGGAATAGCGCATTGCTCACGTAGTTGGGCAGCAGCAATTGTGGTTGCTGCTGCTGCTGCTGTTGCGGCTGTTGAAATTGTTTGTAATTGTGCTGGGGCAGCGCCTGAAGTGGCGACGCCTCAGCCGGGGCAAAGCCGAACTGATTCGAGGGCTGGCCCTGCAAATTGCCACCGATGTTGTTTTCGTTCGATTTCTGCAGAGATTGCTGCAGGTTTTGGAAAATCTGTTGCACCGCATTTGACGGCGCTGGAAGCTTCTGATAGTTGTTGTTGTTGCTGCCGTGCAGGGCGAATTTATGACCCGAAACGGCATCGCGGACCGGCAATTGCTGCTCAATTGGATATGTGGGATAAATAACAGTTTTGGTATGTGTGCTGGGTATAAATTCCACCGAAGGCCTTATGGAGTAACCCACCGAGGGCGGTTGCAGCGCAGTCTGAATGGCCTCCAGTGGACCATGTTGCTGTTGCTGCTGCTGCTGGAGTTGCTGTTGCTGCTGCTGCTGGAGTTGCTGTGACTGCTGCTGCTGCTGGAGTTGCTGTGTTTGCTGTATCTGCTGCTGTTGCGGCTGCAATGTGCTGGGTTGAGCAATTGGCGATGCCTGGAATCGGCTCTGGGTCTGCTCCTCCAGGAGCTTCAGCTGCCGCAGGATCAGAGCCTGCTGCTGCTGCGCCTGGACCTTCAGCTGGTAAATCTGCTGCTCCAAGGCACGTTGCCGTTCGATTAGATAGTTGTTAACGCTGGGAGGCTCGGGCAGAGTGTTCAGGGGTTCCTGATGGTTAGAAAGTGTTAGTTTGGTCTAATGGCTTATTTTAGCTTTCAAATTGAAACTTAAAACTAAAATGAATTGTAAAATAGTGTGCTTTTTTTTAGGTATAACCTTTTATGATGGCCTGATTGGCAAGATATAATTTTGAAATGAAAATTTGTCGAAATAAACACATTATTTCATGTCTTTCCTACATACTTACCTTCACATAATTGCTGGTGGAGCTGGCCAGGAAAGCGGGCGTGGTGGAGATACCTCCGCTGGCGCTGGTGCTGGTACTGATCTGGGTGGTGGTTGTGCTGCTGGTGGGTGGATACTGTGTGGGCAGCGGCGTGGCCGGAGGCTCCGACTCGAGCACGTTCAGCTTCGTGATGGTGGGTCCAATGTGGGGCAGCAGATGCTGATGTTGCTGTTGCTGGGAGTAGATGGGAGTCCGCTGGTTACCCGACAGCAGGGGGCGGAACTTCTGGGCGGTGCCACGCTCATCCAGATCCACCGTAAAGGCAGTTACCAGCGGCGCCTCCTGGATACGAATGTCCTGCTTGTCTACCAGCTCAATGTTCTCTCCATCCTCATTGTGGGTGGGTCTTGGAGTTGTCGTGGTAGTCGTTGTCGTCGTTGTTGTGGTTCGCCTCCGGGTGGTGCGGGGTCTTGGAGTGGTTGTTGTGGTAGTCGTGGTCGTAGAAGTTGTTGTAGGAGCTGTCTTCCTTATATTGCTGATCTCGAATTTAATCTCATGACTGCCACTGTCGTGAGAGATCTCATTGCTGCTGACCGATCCGGAACTGGAGCTGTCCACGCTCCGGGTGAGCTGACGATTCTCCGGACCCTCCGGCTCCGCTGACTTGGGTTCGATGGGCAGGGCAGTGGAAGGAGAGCTCTGCTTGCGCAGTGTGGTCTTCTTCCACAGCTTGGAGCGATCGATGAAGGAGGAGAGCAGCTGCTCCTGGGCGTTCTTCTCGTCGAAGGTGGCTGTGTAAAACTGAACAGTGGGCACTACAGGCTCTGCCTCCGCTTTATGGGTGCTTTCTTCCAGGATTTCATCCTTTTCGCGATGCGAGGGCAGAGTGGAAGTCTCCGTGCGAAGCAAGGATCGGGATCCACTGCTACTGGGACTGTCCTCTCCGCTTTCCGTAACCCCGGCAGCAGCTGCCTCCTCCTGCTCCAGTTTATCGATAGCCCGGAGAAGAGCCTGGCGTACCGAGTAGTCCAGCTTCTGGATGGCCTCCCGCGGAATGATCTCGTTGCTCTCCGTGCTGGAGTTATCCGCCTCAGCACTGGAATCGGCATTAATCATATGGAGCTTGAGAGCAGCCAGCAGGAGGACCGCCAGCAAAGCCCATGGCAGACTGTTCAGGTGTCTCTGTTAGAGGAAGGAACAGAAGAAGAGTATGAAGGAAGTATTAATGCTTGGGCTTTAAATTTAATAACTTAATAAGTTCGCTCTTTCCTAATGGGGTCTTAGTTCCAAGCCTCATTTGCCATAATGGCCATAGAGATTTTAATGCTCTGCTAGTTGGAGACACCTTGGGCTAGGGCCAACTTACTCTTGGGCTAATTGTCTGTGACACCTTAACCATTTTTTTATGACAGAGCATTAGTTTAGGTGCAATTGCTAAGCTGATCTTTCAGCATTTTCATGCAGTCTTAAGCAATTTTCTTAAACTGGGACTAAGCTTGAGTAAGCTACAACTAAACTTTAGGAAAATGTATTAAAATCTATGACATTTGATCCTATATCTATCTATTTATCTTATTCATAAAATGTTGCATAGAAAACTCTTTGAGTTTCCCTAACTTTTGGCAACTTTCATGATTTATATCCAAGTTTCCCGTGCATTTTCCTGGCCAAGCCCAATTGCTGGAGTGTACTTGTGCAACCTGTTGGAAAATGCCTGAACAGAGTCTGTGACCCCTGTTTGGTTTTCCATGTGAAGCCCGCTAATCGCCGAGTGGTAATCTTTCCGGCATTTGCGCACATGGAAAATCATAACGCATTATACACAGTTTTTTGTTGGTCGAACTGCCCACTCATGGAGGTTTTCTTGGCTTTTCTCAATTTTTCGAGGGGAATCCGTCTGTGGCTGCGTTTTGGGCCATTTGCACAATTTCCCATTTTCAACAGCTTGACGATTGATTTCTGGTGGTTTATGCTCCACCAAGAGAGTCTTGAGAGTTTGCAAATTGGCCAGCAACTTGCAACGTTGCTCGTTTGGCTGTTTGCTGAAAGTTTAGGCTAATTGTTGCATCAACGACCAGTGGATGCTGGATGCTGGCTGGTGTCCAGACAACCCATCTGACCACCTGTTGCTGGAGCAGAGACGCGGCTACGTGAGTTTTCCGCTTTGATTTGGTTTCGTTTTCGTTATTTTCGACTTAAGTCTGGGCTCTGGAATCGTTGTGGGCGCCCAGGAGTTTTGTGTGGCAGTCACGTTGTTGCCACTTGGCACTGGGCATTAGTTCGAGTTACCAGCAACATCTGAGCCGCACTGAACAATCGTGGTCTAGTCGTTGCCTGGAAATTATTTAATCAGCATCATCAGCAGTCGGAGCTGCAGCAGATGAAATGAAAAGCCCATTGGATTCGCAGCAAGGACTCGAGCGTTGTGGTATGCCAATGTTGCATAAATCTTTTGAACTACACAACACGAAATAATTCGTGGAAGTAGAAAAGCTTTGATCTTAAGAAGATATTATATTAATCAGTATACAACATTAATATTTTAATTTGAAGAAGAAATCAGAAACCATCAAGGAAGGATCATTGAAAATTTAAAACTTTTCCAGCGTGTACAAATACAAAAAAAAATTACCAATTATACAATTGTACCTTTCCGATATCTTTTCGTATCGATCCATCTTCCGTATCGACTTAATCTTTAAGCTCTGCTCAACACCTTTGACTCCGGGGCTTTGCCCCCCTGAAAAAAACTTTCTACTTGTTTGCCTTCAAACAAACCGAAGGCGTCTCTCCTTTGAAGTCCATCACTATAAAATCGAACATGACTCGCCTTTTTTTCACATTAAATAGACTGGTGAAAATAACCATTATTTTTCACAATTTAACTTGGCAGCCTGCCTTCCGCTTGAGCCAAGGCCAGGGTTCAAGTTCTGCGAAAGGGCAAAGGTAGCGCCTTTTGATGGGAAATAATTTCTCGTCGTCTTTGCCATTGACTTTCCGGCCACAAAATCAATGGCTGCGCCTGCTTGGCTGCTCATTTGCGTCAATTTCGCTATGGAAATCATCGACGGCATCGAGTCAGTCAGCCGGACAGTTGGACAGTCCGTCAGTGGCGTCAACTTGGCGCTAAGCTAATCAAGTTTGCCGGCTTTGAATTTGCTGGGGAATGGGAATGGGATAAAGATAAATATACATATATAAAGGGGCAGGAGGAGATGGTGGATCCACAGAAAAAGAGAAATAGCAATCATCATAAATTGTAATGGTCGTCGGTCCCAGGCAAATGGAAACCTCTGCAGGTATGTATATTAAAAGGCAAACTACTCAATTGCATGTAGGCATTCCCATTTTTATTTCATTTCAGGCTATTTCCCTGCAATGTTTGGCACTTGAAAACACGAATATTCCCAGGCAGTCCATGGCGGAAGTGCTTAGTTGTAGATATTTGGTGAAATTGCGGCTAAAATATTACCATTTAAAAGCCTAGCTTAAAATCCCTTAAACAAATACGTGTATCTTTGTTTAAAAATCAATTAAGTAAACAAATATTTAATTGGAAAAGGGGTTGCCAAAGGCTTGTCAAATTTCTCTGCCTAATATTCGTACTAGTTCACAGGCAAAATCTTAATAAAAATATTTATAATAATAATCAAGCGAAGACGCTCCCCGGGCCTTAAATTTCCGTTTTAATTGGATGGAGATATTCACATGGTAAATGCACGAAATTAACAAGCGCGTAAAATGCCATAAGGCAGCTTAATAAAATTCCTTTAATTATCCATAATTATATTCAGTGGCCGCTGAGTTCCGCAAAAAGGCCCGAAGCCGCCACAACCAAGCCAATCTTGGCCACAAAATTGCGGCAAAGTGTATAAAGTGTAAAAAGTGATTTAACAACAATCGGACAACGCCAATAAATTAGCAATACCTCAATGGATAATGGCCCAGAGCTGTCTGTATTATTTATTTTACGTTGTGTTTCTTCTCTCCCCTGGTGTGTGGGTTGAAAGTGTTTTCTTTTTGTGTGTTCGTTCGGTTACCTCTTCTTATAAGCAAATATCTCCGCAATCTTGGCAATTGCATAAGCCAAAACTGACCAAAACTTCACTTTCGAAGGCGAAGACTGGAGACCGAAGACTGGGTAACCCAGTTCCACTCCGCAACAAAACAATAAAGAAATGGTACATCATATTCGTATGCCAGTAATTCGAGCTGTCAGTTTCAGAGCGGGGGGAGGGAAGGCCTTTCTGGAATTTCCCGCCTTTACTGTGATTAATTTCACGCCTGCTGAGCCCCGCTGCACCTCTGAAATTTTTCGCATTTCGCATTCTGCAGATGCAGTTTTTCAGTTTTACATTTTACATGCTGCACTTAGGATTGCCGCCGGAGGATTGCATTGCCCAAGCCTGTGGTTTAGTGCAGTGTGGCATCCAGTAGCATCCACTGGCCGCCACGCATTATTAAGCAGCTGGCAGATGATAAACCCCGAATTTCGAGACCTGGCCGAAAGTTGTTTATCTGGCTCTGGATGTAACCGCTCGCCACATAACGCAATCCATTCCCAAACCCATCCCCGCCAATCAAAAGTCCAACCAGTCCGCCAATTGGCGAGCCGGTGCAAATTGGTGTTTATGCTTTATGTGGGCCAGCATAAATATAAATGTTGTAAAGATGATGTTGTAATCCCTGCACAGTCATAAAATGCAACCGCATGGATTGCAATCAAAGATTATAATACAGAAACATATATTAGATTCAAATCCAGTTCATGCCGTTTTTATGACCAGGCCAAGTTCACGCCCAAAGATGCCATGAACTGACTGATCTGACGACTGAAAGGAAAACTTATTTGGCTATATTTAACCAAAGACTACTTTTGTTTAAATTGCCTATTATTGTGTTATACAAATTGGTATTGATTCATAACCAAATTTTTCGACGATAGTTAAAACAAACAAAATGATCATCACAGGCCCAAAGGTGTTACAAAAATCTCCACCAAACGAATTCCATAAAAATGTCAAATATAGTTTTGCTTTTATATATTTTTTTGCAGGTGATCTTGATGATGCAGATGAGATGCTTAACTACATGTTTTGTAATAAAAATCTTTTTATTTTATAAAAATATATAATATTAAACATAAAGTCGTTTATAGGGTATGGAACAGTAACTGGATCCTTGTCTTACTATTCATAGTATGAAATATCTTTCTCTTTGACTGTTTCCCTTATCCTTCTATTCCTTTTTTGTTACCATTCTTTTATATTATTTTTATAAGAGCATACACAAATCGATGTGTTTTGCTACCATTTGGACATAGCCCATTGATGATTCCCCTAGTTTTCAGTTACCCAATAAATTTGTTACAGTATTTTATGGACTTTTAACTGCCTTTGTGGCTACCAAGCTTTTGTTGTCCCAAAAAACGCATAAAAAACCTCTGTAATTGCGCGTGTGGGCCACCAAACGCAGCATCTCCCCTCCATTGGAGCTGCTTTCCAGCTCGTTCGGTGTGGCTGGCGATAGCCGATAGCATATAGATAACAAGTCCCGGGCATTTGCATAATTTCACACTCAAATGTCGAGGCTGACGCGCCCTATTCCAAGATCTGTGGCTTTTTGTTTCGGCCAGATAGATATTAGCCTAATCCCTAGGCAGTTTTGACGTGGAAGCGAGCTTTTGATTGGCATTGATTGGATATCGGTTTCGGGATATTGACCAATAACGCGATATCGCGAGGGGATCTTCTCCGAACTCATAGCTGTTTACATTTCGATTAGGGCCCATTTTGCTGACTGTTATTTGCATATTTATGTGCATTTAATTGGGTTTGGTTGCGTGTAAGCCGTCATAGATATGGCAGATCTGATCGCAGCCGAAGACAACGGTAAGCCATATTTTCGGCTGATTGGCCAGAGGTCAAGTTTAGCGATGATCAACCGATAAGCAGACGAAGTTCAATTTTTGCAGGCAGCCGCAGCACCGATTGAGTCGGAGATGCATAATGGCAATAATAATAATATTATGCCTGCCTGTCTGTCTGCTGTCTATTACAACAGGTTTCCGCAGCAAACTGTTTGTTTTTTTTGCCACGCCAAACTCTCGCTGACATTAGTAGTGGCTGAGTGAAAATCCGTATCTTCATCTGCAGCTTTGGCCGCAGCTTATTGACCAATGCCAT